GTCAATTGGCCACCGTCGACTCAGTCAAGCTTGTGTCAAGAGCGTCATTCGCCGTCTGGGATGCTTCTAGCCGCGTCGTGGGAGTACTGAAGGAACCCGCGCGCCAGCGATCGCAGGTCGACGACGGATCCACTTCCAGTTCCAGCCCCAATCCCAGTCCCGTGCCCGTCGCCCGAGGCTGGACGGCGCCGTCGAATCGCAGCGCCCCAGTTGTGTGGGGGAGACAAGTGACAAGGAACCGGACCAGGGGCTGGGGCGGGCTGAAGCGGGTTGAGGCTGGGTCTTCCCGTGCGGCAGACAGGTTTCCGTTGTCGCCGCATGGGCGGCTCTTTGCCGTCATGATTGGCTGGGTGCCAGGATCACCAAGCGTAGCCATCCTGGGAGGCCAAGCAAGGGCGACGGTGCGTAATTCAAAGTGCACCAAGTGAGCAAACTGACGATGGACCCGACCCAACCTGACCACACCACGCCTGCCATGGAGTGGGAAACCTTTCAGCCGTGAAACATGGGACAGCGGCGTCCATCATGGTCTTCTGGCGAAGGGTGGCGACCCCCCCATAACCAGACATGGACACGAACGGGAACCGGGCGCACACACGGCGTTTGACAGGCAAAGCCGGCCAGAAATATTGCATGAAGCGGCGGCAGAAACGAGGCTGCTGCGAGGCGCTCAGATATCGTGCCATGGCCCCGTGCCACGAGCCACGACTCCATGGAGACCGGCCGTGGCCTACATGCAAGGCCGTCAAGTCACAGTGGAGCGTGGCTATGGAGCTCCCCCCAGCCAGGGCCTTCAGGACCTGCAGGCTGGGGGGCGTCAACGAGATGCCAAAAGGGTGCAAACAGTGCTGCTCGTGTGTGGTATACGTCTCGGCCGAGGCGCGGTGCATCGGTGATAGCAATCACGGTCGGGGTGGTCAAACTCAAGCGGCGGAACAAACCGAAAATGGCATCGACGTTTGCCAACTTTGGCTCAACGCAGAAAGCCAGGCTAGGCTGCTGTTCAGCCTGATGGGCTGCCAGGGTGTCCCAGGATAATTGAGGCCCAATGGCTGCTAGATCGAGGCACAGGTCACTGCTGCGGAAGAGGAGGCATGGGAGAATGGGGGTTTGCTGTCCGACCTGACCACCCAGTAGGTCACCCAATGGGCCGCTCGCAGCCTTTCCCCGGAGGCAAGACGTGATGGGGGGAGTGAGAGGAGACGCATGACGAGGTGAGGCGAGGCAAGACGAGGCAAGACGGAGAAAGGTGAGGGCCACCATCAAAAGTGCAACACGCGATGTGATGGATGTGCGTGATGCATCGCATACCCGATCCTCGAGACGGGGCTCTAAGCCCAACAGCTTACAGCACAGGGCCTAGAGGCTGGGGCTATAGCCTGGATCCGGGGCCTCTATACATTAGGCCTTGAGTCTTTAGCCTTGGGCCTGATGGGACGGCCGCAGAGTTTCGGGGTGGATTCCATTTACACGTCACCGTTGCTGTCACGGGCGTCGACGAGGCGGCGGGAGACCGCGACATGCGATGTGATGTGATTTGGTGTGATGCGATACGATGCCAGCGGGCTGTCTCCGTAATCCTCTCCGGATGCACCTGCGGATGCCCGTGAGAGAGCCGGGTAGGGAGGAGGTACCATGGTTGCGAAAGTGTTGAGCACGGAAACGCTACGTCAGTGAGTGCGAGGGGCTGGCTGAGTTGCAGCACCGCATGTTGCATAATCATGCTAGGTATCGGCAACAACGCAATCAGCATGTTGTGTCATCGCTGGCTGATTCTGTTGCAGCTCCTGCACCTGGGTGAAAAGGATGAAGAGAGTGTGAGGGCGCAGTTGGAGGTGCAGCGGGTGATGCAGCGGCAGGGACGTCGATCCACGCATGAAGCCAGCGGCGGGGTGGGGTCCTGAGTTTGCTCGTTCCTCAGTCCGGCAAGCTGGGGGTGGGTATGTCACGGCAATTCACCATGCGCGGGTTAGCATTTGTTGTTTTGTTGTTGTTATTGTCGGGTTGACGACGATGGCGACGAGGCTGCGATGATGTCTGGATGAGGCGTTGTTATTCCCGTTCGTTTTCAGTAAGTCATAAGTTTGTTGGTTCGACCAACAACAAGAATAATGGAAGGAGCGGGTGGAGGGTGGTCTCAGGTCTGGCCGGGCAGTGCTCCCTCTTAGTAAAAAAGTTGGCATGTGCGAAAGTCAGGAAAGAACAGTCGGGAAAGGGAGCCACACCACCAGGACACACGATGAAGCCACAGAGAAACAGAGAACCGACAGGACACGATAATTCATTCGCCGGATGGGCACGGGGAAATTATGTGAATCAAGATGAGCAACAAGGTATATATTTTCACATGGCAATGCCTGAAATGTCAGAAAAGCGATCTAGATCAATCTACGAACGAGTGATGGAGAACCTTGGCCACCGGCCGTTGGACTACTTTCGGTAACCTTCAACCCGACCAAAGGATCAGCTCCACAGGCTGCGCCACCGGCTTCACCAGCGGCAAAGCTGCAACGGTCATGACAAGAAAAAAAGGAAGCTGACACTGCCGAGTCCTTAGCATACCTGAACTGGCCTTGTACGTCTATTTGCCGCCGGATCAATCTTCCGTCTGCGTTGCTTCATCCCATCCGCCTTCATTCCACGGGAGCCACCTCAACTACCGATCCAATTGCAACCGCGAATATCTTCCCACAGCCACATGGTAAGTCTTGGCGCATCGGTAGGAGTTTCGGGGCGCCCACAGCCTGAGTCTTCAAGAGGTTACAGTGGGTTGTCCTCCCTAGGGCCAGTGGTTTCTGGAGCAGACCGGGCTCTTTCGCCCCCAAGCCACGGGGCAATACCGCAAAGCCGCCGAAGTCACTACAGCTAAGGGGACTATTTTTCAAGTCTCCGAGACATCAATGACTTCTCCACGGGGCAGGTGGGTGCTCACGCTTCCGTTACACTAAACGCTCTGAAAGGGATGACGAGGAAGCCTCCCTCAAATTCAGATTCATGTCATATAACCATCCGATTCATTCCGCAGATTGAGATGACTCAAGCCAGTTGGTCGATACTTTTTCAGGTTGACTATCATCGGCCCTATAATTTCAGGGTACCTAGGTTTGCAGAAGGTCCAGGCGGCGGATTGTCGTCCGGGCGGTTCGATTATACGTTTAGTGGCATGTTTCAGGGCGGTTTCTGGTCGGCGTTTCAGTAGACCCCGGCCAGGACCAACAGCCAAAGCCAACACCGCCGTCAGATGAAAGAAATTAAGTACGTGTTGCAAAGCGCATGGCTTCTCTGACTGGAGGCAATCTGCCTCCAAGTATCCGTAGTTCTCTCCAGTTCATGACAGCAATACGCCTCTCTCTCCCTCTTCGACGCGGCTGTCTACCTACGTCGGTCGGTCATATAGAACCCCGCCTGCTGACCAGAATGCGTCCCTCATTTGCCCTTATTATGCTGCCTGTAATTTGGCCCCACGGCATGCGCATCCTATCAGGACTCAGTGGTAATTAAGGCATGATGCCGTGCTTCATGGCTGGCACAGTCGGCGCAAGCGCGTGCAACCACTTACCCCACCTGTCTGTCCACCTGCCTCGCTCCTTCCCCCACTTGGCTTCACCTCACTCGACTCTCCAACCTGATTCATCCCGCCACTACTCCCTCACCGTTGCACCTCGACTCGGTCTTCTTCGCTTGCCAAGTTTATCTCCAAGTGTCTTTCCATCCGCTCCTAGTACCTGCACGCTTATCTCGCCTGCCTACCTAGAATTTCCATCCTCGTCATCACACCATAACCTCTCTCCGTCTCTTTCGCCGTCCCTGGACCGAGGAAGTGGGCGGCTTGAAACCCCATCCATAATTCCGAACCACTGCTGCCTGTATTATACTTGCCTGCCTGCCTGCCTGCCTGCCTGCCTGCCTGTCTTACATATCATACCTCAAACATTCACATTCATCATCTACGCCCATCTCTATCACACATCATCACTTCCGCCAAACAAAGGAAGCCTGTGCCGCCGACACCTCGAGGCTCCAGGGTACTCGTTTTGATCATTCGTTATCCTGGCATATCCCCCCCGGCTCAGATCATCTCTCGATCCTCGCCGGCCCAGTTCCCGCTCATCGGCTCCACTGAGCTCTTCGCCTGGCCGCGTCTTCCGCCCATATTTGGTCGCGACCGCATCGACTAATACGCTCGGCCACATATCGCGACCTCTCTCTCCTCTCGTTCCTGCTCGCTGCTCACGCGCCGCCCGTTTCCCCATCATCTCGTGTCTTGCCGCCGCCGCATCTGCCGGTTTCGAAACAGCACCCCTCGTCTATTTCGACGCTCTGGACTTGGGCTGCCTCTCAAGTTCCCAGTGATAGCCACCGATCCTGGGGCCTCCCGAAGCTGCCGGCACGTCATCGGCCAACCATTGCCGCCGTTGTTCTCGGCCTCACTGCCGAACCGGACCTGTTACGGGGCCCGTGACGTCTGCCGCCGCCCGCAACCCGCCGCCTCGTGCCGTCACACTCCCACCCGGATGAGGATTTCCTTGCATTGTTCCTCATACCCTCCAAGACGAAAGTCGCTGGCCTTGTCCCACTACCTCATCGCTAGGTACCCCCATCGGTTTCCTCCGTCACCTGCAGCGCCTGGGCTCTAGATCTGTCATGGAGCCTGCCGCCACCCGGACTGACCAGCTCATCTCGCAGACGCATAGTCTGCCTCTCTCATCACATTGCCTAGATAGCCCCGGTAGGTAGTGTTGGCCCGGCCCTGATTACGAGTGCCTTCAGCCCTGCGACTGATGCGGCCGCTGATGCCCAACCCGCAGTCTTCTCGATCGCCCCCATCCTCTCGCAAGAGGCTGACCTCCCAACCCCCTCGGCTGCTGACGCTGTCCTTGCCCATCACCCCATAGCCTGGCATGATGGCCATTGGCACAGCCTCTACGGGGTTCCGTCCAGCCCACTCCATCTCGAGCACTTGCCAAACGAGCTTCTCTTCCACATCCTGGGCTTCCTAGATGTGGGCGATCTCCTCGCAGCATCGAGGGTAGGTCTTTCTCCCAGGCTCAGTTACAAGCCCTTTGTCATTTTCTCCTTGCATTTTCTCCTTGCAAATGGTCCCTCGTCTTAACTTGACGCGAAGAGACGCAGCATTTTCTCCTCAGAACCCCTAGGACATGACTGACAAAGATGTAGACAAGTCACTTGCTTCGTAGCCTCTCGCTGACTCCCATTCTACATCACTACCGTCTTCGGCGTACCCGTTGCGTACTGCCGCCTCTGCTTTGGTCCTCCTCGCGTCCATCATTGGCCGATCTCATCTCCCGCTCCATCTTCTTGACGCACACATCCGTTGTTTCGCGACGACTAGCCCGTTCCCTTGTGTCTATCCGACTCTCTCGCCGGCTTGCAACCCGGCCTTCGCCGGCATGTTTGGTAGAACGATGTGTGCTTCCGAAAGAATGCGTGCCTGGCTTAAGCAACGTCTACATTGCGCCAGGGCTAGTGGCTAAGAAGATAGCCATTGAGAAGGAGAAGGTCAAGGATGGATTGCGGCAGTGGATTGCGTCCAAGTGGAAGGGCAAGGTAAGGGAGCGCGAGGAAGGCGTTAGACGCTGGGAAGAGAGTTGCGGTATCGGACGTGTGTGGAGGCTACGCAAGTTTTGGGAGCGGGTTAGTCGAGGGGAAGTGTCGACAGCTGCTGTTTGGTAAGTTTGTGTCATGATGGTGATGATGGCGACGACGGTGATAGCAGTGATAGTGTTCGCGATACATGACCACGAATGTGAGCGCAAGTGCTTGGATCTAGTGCTTGGATCGCCGGTTGGAGGGTTGGTTTGTCCTGTCTTGTCTTATTTCTGACCTCGTTTAACTCTCGTACCTCGTCCTTTTCCTCACTTCTCAGCCCTGGCGGCTTGGGAGGCATGGAGACCAATGAAGGGCCCATGGGGATGTGGTTCCTGGGGAGCCCCTAAAGAGGGCAGGCTAAACGGGCAAAGCCGGTGTTTTGTATGATACATTATGTAGGTTGTGTGTTGTTTGTACATGAGGTGCCATCTGTGGGCTCCCTCTCTCTCTCGCTCTCGCAAAGGCATTTTCCCGGGGATCTGCCTAGTTGGTCCGGAACCTGAATCCGTCCCAATCGTCATCGTCCTCCTCATCGTCCTCATCCTCGTCTTCCTCCTCCTCCATGGGGGTTTCCAAGTTCTCTTTACCCACATTTGTGGGTTTCGCAGGCGCTGCTTCCTGGCCGAAGCTCTCACCTCGTTTCCGCAAGGCTTCCCGCTTTTCCTTGAGCCGCCGCACGCGGGCCTCCAGCTCTTCCATCTCCTCAAACTCCTCCTCCAGCGCCCTGGTGGCCTCCTCCTTTTCGTCCTCGAGGTCCACATCAGCCTGCTCCCTCCGTTTTCTAGCTTCCTCTTCTTCAGCCTCGGCAGCTGCTGCGGTCTCTTCTGCGGTCATGGCGGGAGCTGAGATGACGGCATCCGCATCGTAGGGGATTGACGTTGCGGCAATGTCGGCCTCAAAGGCGGCCCACTCCGACTCGTCGACTTGCTGCGCTGTCGGACCTGGTCGGCCATCGGTTGCCAGAGTGCTCGCTCGCCGTGTGGGAAGAGAGGCGGTGGTGGGTTGCGATGGTAGGGAGTTGCTGGGCTGGCCTCCAGGTGTGGAAACGGAGGGTCCGTCGCGATGCGCGGGCGTGGCCGGCCGTGAAGGGATCTGCATCTCAATGCCCTGGGACGGTGTGGTAGAAGTCCTCCTCGTCAACCGGGGTGGGGTCAAAGTCTGGTCTTTGTCCCCGTCCACCTCGTGCCCGTGCAAGGCCATGTCTTGCTTGCTGCGTTTCCGCCTCATAGAGTCCTCCATGTCCACGTCGCCGCTTCCATTCGCACTATCCTCATCGTCGTCATCATGTTTCCGCTTCTGGGCCGTCTTCTGAGCATCACTGGCGCCGTTGGCTTGGGCCGCAGCTCGAAGCTGGAGGAGACGGGCCTTGTGGGAGTCGCTCTGGATATGGCCGTCCCAGAGGGACTCGGTTTTGATGTGGTCGTGGCATAGGGTGCAGAGAAGCTTGCCGGCCTCGGAGTAGGCGGCGTGAGGGTGTTCAATACGGCGAGCGGCGCGCTGCTGGCGTAGGAGAGATCGGACGTCGGCCATGGCGAGAGACGAGGAAGACGGAGGGGAGGAGGGACGGCGAAGGACGGGGAGACGGAGGGACGGCCCGTTGGCTGCCAATTGACGGCAGCAAAAGGAGGACTGTGATTTGCAGATGGTGGACTCCCTTTGATATATATGAGAACAAGAAGAAGAAAAAGAAGAAGAATGGAAGAAGAGAGGAGGAGGAGGAGAGACAGAGGCGCCAACAGGAAAGGCGGCGTTGTTAGTGAGAGGCTCTCTCTCGCATGGGCAGAAAGTATGAGCCGCCTCCGACAATTAGCCGGCGCAGCGCACCCAGCAACCTAAACTAGACCTTCAAAGAGATGCCGTACCTTTATCAGCTTAAGTTGGTGCGCAGAACTTCTCTGGGCAACCTAAACTTCAAAGAAGCAACAATCCCCGTCGGAAACCCAGGAGAAATCCTCGAAAGTTGTGACTTTCATCTTTTGGGCGTTTCTTCTTGTCTCTCCTGGCGTGGATCCCCAGCGCAAACGGGCGAGCGAGCCGAGCCATTCCACTGGGTCTCAGTTCAACACTACCCACTCTCTCTCCATCCACACTACCGCTGAAGGACCGCTACGGGGCTACGGGCCTTCCTTGCGACGGCATTCCATCTCGTCTTGGCGGGCCTCTGCTATCCGGTCTCTGTCTTGTCTTGTCTTGTCTTGATTCTCGTGGGGTCGACTTCTCTCCCTGTCCTCCACACCTCAACCCTCGCACTCACACTTCCCTCCCATGAGGTGACATCATCTCAACGCCTGAAAGATGGCCGACCAGCCGGAGTCCAACACGCTCGCCTCGACCTTCCCTAACCCGCCGACCTTCTGGAAGGACTTCACCCCAGACAAGCTCGCTCGCGTCGAAGAGCTCAAGGCGGTCCACGCTCAGCGCAATGGCGGAGACCCGTTGACAACGCGCATCCCAGACCTGCCCGAGGAGCTGCTCAATCTCCAGCCGCCCCTCGAGCCGGCCGATGGGCGCTGGAGGGTCTTTGGTGACCAGTACATGGTATGATGCGACCGGACTGCTCCTTGAGCAAGGGTTCATATACCGTGGCGCAATTCGCTGACTTTCCTTTGCTGCAGCTCGATGACAAGCTCCCGACGCTGGAGGAACAGGGCATCGCCAACCTCCCTTCAGCAGCCCCGACCGAATCCAAAGACGTACCGCACTTCTTCGATCGTGCCCTTGAGCTCAAGCGCCTCGCCAAGTCTCTCCTCCTCAATTTCCTCGAACTCTCCGGCACTCTCTCTCGGAACCCGTCACACGCCGAAGCAAAGGTCCAGGACCTACGTACCCTCTTCATCAACTTCCACCACATCCTCAACGAGTATCGCCCGCACCAGGCCCGCGAGTCGGCCATCGCCATGATGCAGGAACATCTCGACCGCACTCGCACCGAGACCATGGCCATTCGGACCCAGGTGGACAAGGCCAGGCGTGTTCTGGATGGACTGGGTAGCCTGAGCATCCCGGAGGTGCCCAAGCCACTTGGCGAGACGGGTGACGAGGACTGGGAGGCGGTGGCCTTGGAGAGAGAATCAGACGCCTGGGCTACGACAGATGCCCTTTTTACCTAAGGCATGGTTGAATCACCCAAAACAACGACTTCAACGGCACATTGACGACGCCATTGAGTGGCCGTACGATTTCTCATGACCGCAGGCCGACGGCTGTTGCACTCGGGATTCCTTCAACGGGCGCCTTGCTCTCGATTCACAAGACATTGCCCTCACTCATGGCTACACTTGTCTTAAATATGCTTTAATTAATATGACTGCACCCGCCCTTGTGGTCTCTCTCATTCTCACATGTCATCTTGTCAACCTCACTCACAGCACTAGAGTTTGGCTCTTTGTCGCTTTTCTCATTGATGGCTAACTCCAGAATGCTATTGACATCCTGGCCGAGCTTCTTGATGAAATCAAGTTCGGTAGTTCCGCTTCGAGCGGAACTACCAAATTTCCACCCATCCGTGTCCTCGATTGCCCTAACCTTGTATTCTTGGTTGCTTTATGGGTGTTATGCCTGCCTCTTGCAGATCTAGTAAACACTCCCCCAAGTCCAAGAATGATGGTCTCTTCTGTTTCGCATCGGAAGATTCAGCAGCGGCTTTTTTCTTCGTCAAACTTCGATGGGAAACATAGTGAATTGTTAACGTGTGACTTTACCAGGGCTTAATTCCTATTACTGTATCAAGTCGTAAGAGTTTAAGCCAGAATACCTTGAAGTCACCTGAAACTTACAACAGCACCCCGCCGTGTCACCAGCATTATTTCTACAATGGGATGATCAAGTGCCTTGTGATTTCCAAAATCACCTTGAAAAGCCATTTTGCTACCCAAACACTCTACAATAAATAACTATTCATAGTTTCCTAGATAAATAAGAAAGTTATTATAAAGATAAAATTACTAAAGGCTTACTATTCTTATTTTTAATCTCTAAATGGATTATACTTGTACTATTTTATTTTATTGAACATTTCAAAGACACAATCCAGGTCCATCTTTATCCAGAGGCATAAATCACATTTAACAATGGTCTCAGCGTCGATAATAAACTCAGGGTTACAATCGCAAACACGCTATGGCAACAGAATCACAGACAACGTCTTCTATAAGCATTTATTCGCAACGGAAGATTTGAAGTTCATCTTTTTATGGTATGAAACCTAAATCTAGCTTGATAAATCCAATGCAACTATAAACTTGCAGTATAAATATCAGTACTTCTTAATATACAGATCCAAGGACCCCGAGCTTGTACTGCGATCAAGTAGAAGAAGGACGAAAGCATTTTTAACATCGATAAGGACTCCAACACTGTTATTCCTGGTGATGTGCTGTACCTGGAGCTTGGCTTGGCTAAACCCGTCACACGATTCGACACAGGATCTCAACTGATACCTCTTTTCGTTCTCCTTCATGGTATATTTTTAATTATTCCTCTTTCATTTGGGCTGGAGTTCTACATCTTCAATTAGTAAAGTAGTTTGCCGCCATCTCTCCGTTCTGAGTATCAACCAACATATATCATCCGAGCAGGTCGCTGCATCATTATCTGCTTTCTTGGCCATAAAGTCTGACATGTCTCTGGCGGGGTCAGCCTGTCCTTGGTGGTATTTAGCCCCGGCATCCCTATCTTGGTCAGCGTTAAGTTTAGCATACGGATTCATTAACCCCTTCACGCGGTTCGGGTTCTTCGTTGCGTCGCGTGCATCCAGTCAGTTGATGCGTCTACCCACGGCGATATCGTATCCCTTGGAGCGGTCAATCTTGACCACATCAATGAAAGCTTCGTTCATGTTTTCCGTCAACTCCGTGATCATATCTTCGACATCGGCTTCGTCAATCCCCTGCTCTGGCAGAGGTCTGTCCTGGAAGTTGGCAGGCATATAGAACACGCATTTGGTGTCCGTGTCGGGCGGCAGTGGTGCGATTTCTGTACAAGACAGGACAAAGTACTGACTCCGTGGCCGTCTGCTGATGTGCCATAATTTTTTCAGGTCGGTAGACTCTGGATTCCATGTAGTGAATGGGTCTCTCACGATTGCTACGTCCAGCTTCTTCATTGACAGCTGCTGGGCTCCGTGGTGAGGAGTTCGACTTCCTCCACGACTCCGCCGATGAGTGGAATTATGCGGTGCTCTTCCGATACAAAGAAAGTGGCTGACGGTGTCGTGCAGTATTCCATGTTCTTATCGTAGACAAAGTTGTCATAAGTCAAGTCTTCGACGTTGTCTCGAGTTTGCTTGATGAAAGGTGCAAAAGGGCTCACAAAATCGACTAGTCTGTCTACTCGTATTATCCATGGCTACTCAAAGACTTCTCTGTATGGGGAAAAGATTTGCAGCTTCGTATCCGCTTTCATTCTGCAAAGGCTTGTTTGAGTTCGTCAAGTAAAGTGCGGCAGCGTCCCGGAATGATGGCGTTGGAAAGCTCGAGTTCGTGAGTAAACAGTTTCTGAATTCGATCTGCGTTTACATCAATGTACATGGAGCAAATTTGCTGAAAAGCACGCTTGACATATGATCCAGATCTCGCCGGGTCTGCGTTGCCGTCCTTGGTTTCGAGTGCCTTTGTAGCCGAGTCCTCTCCCGCTTGTGAACCGTGTCTCAACGCGCCTGTGTCTCCAGCTTCTGCGTTGTTCAGCGTCCGTATGGCTTCGTGGTCTGTGTCACTTGTGTCAGTCATTGTTGCCTTGACCTCGCCCGGAGCCTCGCCCGGAGCCTCGTCCAGAGGGACTTGGAACGACGCGATGAAATACCGTCGGTTCTGGTCGCGCGCGTACATAGCAACTGAGAGCGAAGAAGGGGTGTTCTGTCCGATGCAAATTCTTGCCTCTGTTCGCAATCCGGCAAACTTGCCTCCTCCCAGCCGTTTGGTTGTTTCAGCATGGTGCCCGGGAATGAAAATATCGTCGACCGCCGTCAGACAGCTGAATTTACCCGTCTCTTTTCCTTTGCGCACGCGTCGGAAGTCGTCACTGCCAAACACTTCTCCTTCATCGTCGGACGCTCCCGGAGCCGCACCTGATTCGATCGCCTCCAGAATTGCCTTTGATTGAACCGTAAAAGTTTCGGAATGTCTTCTTTAATGTCGCTTCTGCTTCCTATGTTCGTTCAGGGTATCTCATCCATTCCATCTGGTACCAGGTCCTTCCGTTCTCTCTTCGTGTTTTTTTTCGTGTTTTTTTTTACAATGTTGTTCAAAATCCAATTTGTCGTCGCCATCCATGCGTAATGAGCCTGGTGGTTCTACTGTCCTCGTACCTAGGAAGACCAGTTCCAGAAACTCCAGAGATACTTCCGGTTTCCATTTGAGATAGTCTGGCAGCCAACTTCATCAATGTGCATGGCCCGCTTCCGCCGCCTTTTTCTCCGCGCTCTCCTTCTCTAGAAGCACACCCAGGTGCTGCAGATCCTCCCTTGCTCGTGGCTCCTGATCAAAGATGCCCTTGATCACCTCCCACTCCCTGCGGGACATTTGGAACGCCTGCGGGAGGAGGAACTGCACTGTTGGTACGCTAATCATCGGACCGAGTACCTCCTGCGCCATGGCGTGTCCGGCTTGCTGTGCTTGATACTTCTGCGCCTCTGACATTTGCCCCGGCGCCACGCTCGGCACCGGGGGCGCTGGTGCTGCTTGTACCGGGACTTGCGGTCGAGTGTGGGGAGGCTGCGGGATAGGCACCGGCGTCGTGGACTGCAGATGCCCGTGGAACGACGGTTGTTGTGGTGAGAACGCCCCCTGAGGCGCCTGTGGCGTTGCCGGCGAGAAGGATGGCCCCGATACCGATGCCGTCGAGTTGCTGCGCTGCCCATAGCCCGTTGGTGTTGGCGTTCCCGGACTGCTCGCCTCCGGCTGTGTCGTCGTGTCCTTAATCTGTTTCAGATTCTCTGGGTCGTTGCGGTAGACAAAAACGGCCAGCAGCATCGGCTCAGTCCGTATCTTGGGGATCTTGTTATCCACCAGGTTCAGCATAAACTCGGGATAGTTATCCTCTCCAGCCGGGACTGGCACGAGATATGTGTCGCGCACATTGCCGATTGCCTTGTCACCCACCACACCATACCGCTTCTTACTAACAAAATAATCGATGAGGGCGTTGAATCCGGCGTGTGCCGCAGGTGCCACGGGGGTCAGGTTAATAACGATGATGTCCGTCAGGCTACTGTAGCGCAGACTGCACAGATACTCAATGGCGCTCTGCTGCGTGATACGCCCGGCCACAGTCATGCGCTTCGGGATAAGTTTAGACCACGGGCCAACAGCCGCAAAGTTGGCACCGCCCATGTGCTTGGCCGTGGCTGGAAAATTTGCGATAGAGCTCATAGCCAGTGAACCACGCCAAATCACGTCCGGGTCCTGCGTCTCCTCCGTAGGCGAGTAAGGTGGTGACTCGTTTTCCTCTTGAAGCATCCGATCGACATCGGCATCCACGCCAGGCCCATTCGCGTGGCCGACAGGGGCCGATGGCCGACGGTTCTGGGTGCCCGTTGGAGACTTGACACTTGAGAAGACCTTGGTGATGTCAAAATTGGGGTTAGTTGGCGAGTGTTGTCCTCCTTCGTGTTGTGCCGGGTGGGAGGCGAGGTCGACCTGATCTCCCCCTGACGGCTCGTTCTTGACCGTAGCCGATCGGCGCGGTCCAGGGGGCAGAGGCGGAGCATCGTTGTTCACGAAACTCTCCTCTTCCACCACTTCCTCGCCCTTGTGCGTCCGTCGGACGCGTGGTCCAGTCTCCGAGGTGTAGAGGATGGACTGCTTTTCAGCCTTGGCTTTCATCTCAGCCGTTTGTTTCTGCATCTCCGACGAGGCAAGCTGCTCCGATGTCATGACGGCCAGGCTCGATGGCGACATAGTCCCTCCAACAAGTGAGCTGCACAGCTCTGGGTTATTCTTAAGGTTGAAACTAAGCGTCTTGACCTGTTGACTATATTCCTTCTGTCCCTTGGTTACGGGGTGCGTATCAAAGACGGCGCGCTCAATCTGAAGAGCGTACGTCTCAGACATAGACTCAATTGAGGTACCCTCATCCAGCTCGAGGTCGCCCTGCTTTTGCATTGTCCCCAGAACGTGGCTGATGGATTTGATAAGAGCTTTTGCCGGCCCCATCCGTGTATTGGGCAGTTCTGTTACTGACTTGGCGAGGTCCGGGGGTGGCGTATAGCTGACGGGAACAGGAACCGATTCGTTCTCCGATACGCGTCGAATCTTGGGAGTCTAGAAGGACATTGTGTTAGTACTTCAACATGATTTATGGGTCAAGGGAGTCAACGTACCTTGCCCTCTGTCTCATGAGACTCTTCGCGGGTCTTCCGCTTCCCTGGTTTCGGGGCAGGCTCCTTCTTTTCCTTGCCAGCATCGGGTGCTGGCGATGGCTTGGGCTTGGTTCCAGCAGACTTCTCAAGCTCTTCCTTGGAGTCGCTGTTCCGCTTTCCTTTGCCCCTCCTGCCGCCCCTCCTCTTCTTCTTCTCTGACTCCTCCTCGTGGGCCTTGCGCCTAGCCTCCCATGGTTTCTCGCCCTTGGCAATGCCATCGAGAAGCTCTTTGTGGTCTTGCGGTCGACATTGCTCGCACCAGTAGTGCTCTGGTATCTCATCATCGTAGGAACTAACGCCGACACAGACATTGTGTTGCCAAGCGCCACAGGTTTCGCAGGCGATCCATGCCTCGCCCGAGTCCTCGTCTTGTTCTGTCGCGCCGCAAACGCAGCGGATTATCTCCTCTTCTTGATCATCCTCCTGCTCTTGTTCCTGTTCTTGCTCTGGCTCTTGTCCTTGTTCTTGCTCTTGCTCCTGCTCCTGTTCGGTTTCCTGCTCCTTGGCCTTCTTGGTCTTCTTGGTCTGTCGTCGCTTGGGTACGGCCGCAGGCTCAAGCTCGTCGAAGGACTTTGTGTGTTGGCCCTTGGTGGCGCGCACGGATCGACGTGGTTCGGCTTCTCCTGAACGGATTCTGTCAGTGCGAGTTCGATCTGTGTTGTGGCCGTGCTCCTGACTCGCGCGACGACGGGACATATGGCTATCCACGAAGGGCGCAGGTTGGGGCAACGTCGAGGGCAGTTGTCGCTTACCGGACATGATGGCGATGCGTAGCGAGTACGAATGCGCCTTTCTGGTTTGGAGGGGGGGTGTAGCAGATAAAGATATTGGTGTTGTGGGTGGCGAAGGTGTTGCTTTGGGCAGATGCGAGGTCTACTGTTGCAGCGAAGCGCGAGATGCCTGTCTGGCTAGACAGACATTGGGATAATTACGTGGTAAACAACTCTAGAGGTCACGACTGGTTCACTGCGAGCCCTCCCCAGCCAAAATCCGGGTGGATATTTCCTCCACTGTTATTTTCCTGGCGAGAAGGTCAAGGGCAAACAAATGCAGTCGCTGCCGGTGACACCCACGTTGCTTTTGCAGTCGCGGGGTCTAGAAAAGGTGCGCAGGCTGCCGACAAACAATGCGCAAGGGGACGGCTGTGGTTAAGGTGGTTGGACGCGCTCCGTGGTGATGGGAGCGAGCTCACGCGGGTGGGGGGAATAATTGGCGTCGCGTGCGCTTTCCACAGCGAAAGACGCCGCTAGGTGTCGTCGGACGGCGGACGGCGTGCGCCGAGTCTCAGTGCAGTAGTTCCTGCACGAGAAGAAAGGAAATTGACGCTTTTCGGTTGCAGAATAAAAGCCGCGACAATAATGCGTGCGACGATATCGACGGTGTTGGGGGCGATGATGCGAGGAGAAGGTTGTGAAGGGGGGAGCTTGCTTGCGGAGGTGACGAAAACTTCGGCACTACCTTGCCTTCTACCTTGCCGTTCTACGAATTAGTGAGCAACAACCCGCCACAGCAGGAGCATCTGGCGATTGGAGGCTGGTGGCTGGCGCTATGGACTCGGGAGGTACTTGGCTCCGCGCACTTGGCCCCAGCTTCCACAGTGCAAGCTGGAAGGGGGGTACGTACCCTATCCGTTCCTTCCCTGCTTCCTGTCACCGTTGACATTTGACAGATCACAGATGGATGCCTGATTGTGGCAACATGTTGGCCTGGGTCATGAGACAGCAACCGGCATTCCCCCGCCTCTCAGAGATTCTACGAGGAACCATCGGGATTGGTGCGATTAGTCAGATCACGGCCCACTCGGAATAACATCGGATGGACTCGTCCAAGCCCCCCAAGCCCCTCAGGTCCCACTTCCTTCAGCCTTGTCAGCCTTGCATCCTCCCTCGCCTCAGTTGGATCGGTACGTAGCTTTTATTCCAACCTCAGGTATCCATCCCGCCGCCTAGCACAACCAGCCAGCAGCGAGAGCTAACGCGGCGCGGCTGTGCCTGGAGCTGAGTTGCAACGACGTAACGAATCTCAACTCCAAACCTCCACTTCCACCACCGCAGCTCTCTTCCTCGCTCCACGAACCTTCGAATTTCGCCCAGAGCTTGCTTTCCCATCGTAACGTCACTTCTCTTCCACCCCCCGACTTTACCATGTCTCGCCGTTACGATTCCCGAGTGCGTGTGCCCGCCGCAGCTTCCCCAGCTCCAATCATCAACCATGAGAGCTGCCCCCGCTGACCGCTTCCGCAGACAACCATCTTCTCACCAGAGGGCCGCCTGTACCAGGTCGAATATGCCCTAGAAGCCATCTCCCACGCCGGAACCGCCATTGGCATCCTGGCCAAGGATGGCATTGTCCTGGCCGCCGAGCGAAAGGTCACTTCGAAGCTGCTGGAGCAGGACACTTCGGCCGAGAAGCTCTACATCCTCAACGAGTGCGCTACGCCCCTCCCTTGCATCACCAGAACCCCACTAACATGTTCATTCTAGTAACATGATCTGCGCCGTCGCAGGCATGACCGCCGATGCCAACATCCTCATCAACTACGCCCGACAAGCTGCCCAGCGCTACCTCCTCACCTACAACGAAGACATCCCCTGCGAGCAGCTCGTCCGCCGGCTGTGCGATCTCAAGCAAGGTTACACGCAGCATGGTGGTCTGCGACCTTTCGGTGTCTCTTTCATCTACGCCGGCTGGGACCCTCGGAGACAGTTCCAGCTCTACCTCAGCAACCCATCAGGCAACTATGGCGGTTGGAAAGCCACCAGTGCGGGAGCCAACAATGCGAGTGCTCAGAGCTTGTTGAAGCAGGACTACAAGGAGGACTGCACACTCGAGGAGGCTTGCGGTATGGCCGTTAAGGTCCTGAGCAAAACTATGGACTCGACTAAGTTGAGCAGCGAGAAGAGTAAGTTTCACCCCTCTCCATGACTCCCGGTACTGGACAGCCGGCTAACCATATGGCTGCAGTCGAGTTTGCGACAGTGGGACAAACCGAGGACGGTAAAATCTACCACCGGCTGTGGAGTGCCGATGAGATCACGGCACTGTTGAAGGAGCATGACTTGGCCAAGACTGAAGATACCGAGGACAAGTAGAGGCAATAGATTTTTTGATAGATGGTGGAGGGGAAACCGGGCCATCCTACATCGCCCCTGTAACAATAATATCATGGAATGACCAAAACATGTGTGGCCCAGCACCGTTTCGCTATGAGCAACTCGCATCCGCGTACAACACAACATACATGACATCCCCCAATGCATTTTCAACGTCCAGCTCTCACTCTCTACTTCTCACTTGCAATACAAGGTTTACCATGCCTAGGCCCGAAATCAGCGGCGTGCTCCTCTTACAACGTTCAGCTCAAATCCTACATCTGCCCCTGCCCTAGCCTCTTCGTCATCCGTGACACGTTGCCATCCCGGCTGGGTGTCGGTTCCTGGGGGTGGGTAAGGCTCGTCGCATCGCTGGCTGGAGAGTCGAGGCCAATGTCTTCGGTAGCTCCAGTAGGCAATGGTCATGCCCAAAACCGACCCTACGCAGACGTCGTACACGTCGTGTCGGTAGTCTTCGCACCGCGAGATGGCAATCATGGCAGCGCCGATGAGCGGAAACAGGCAAACCAGCGCCCGGCTAAGATCTCGACCGCCGGCCGCATACCGGAAGACGTGGAGCTGACCTGCCAGGAAGAGGCTAAGAAATCCCAGACCAGCAAAGGAGAAGGACGAGTGGCCGGAGGGGAAGGAGCGCCAGCCGTCCTGGAGATCGTGACCGTCAGGCGCCGTGCAAACGTCAATGGTGACGAGGACGTTGATCTGGGTGTCTGTGGCTGGTTGGCAGCGAGCCAGCAGGTCTGGGCGAGGCCGACCGACGGCGTTCTTGATGATGTCAGTGATGAAGGTTGTCAGAACAATGGAGATGAAAAATGAGAGGTACGTGGCTTCGTGTTTGGCCGGTGAAGATCGCACCCAGATGTTGTAAGCGATGAGGACACCGAGGGGGACGAAGAGGGCGTAGACAAAGTTCATGACTAGTCGCAGTGGTCAGACGCTTTCTTTCAGATGACAACGCTCGGCAATTAGGCCCTTGGGTATACCTACCAACGGGGACGCGCTCGTGGAGAGCATGAGGATAAGAGATGGCGAGATCGTTGACTGAGAACATCCGGTGGAACGGTGTAACGAAGACAACTATCTGTAAGCAGGGCAAGAAAGAAGAATTCTGTCAGAAATGCAGAGGTTCGATGCGGGCATTCGGAAGTGTGGCCTTACAAGGATCCATGCGGATAATAGAAACGTGAAGCCCACATAGTCAGGCGCATGCGATGTCTATGTCGAAGCCAACGTCAGCCAAGCTCTGTCTCAGGAGTAGTGAGCCGCCGAGGCGAACAAACCTTCCAGCACCGCTTCAAAAACGCGACGGGTCCACCGACCACGCCGCTATGAGCTGGAGCCATGGATGGGGCGAGACTGAGGATGAAATGAGGATGAGGGTTCGGAGCGAGTCGGAAGCTCGCGTGACATTGAGTGAGCTGAAGGAGAGAGAGTCTCGGGACTTCGGGATGCTGTCTGTGTTGGGAATTTGTGAGTGGACGACGTGAGGAATTCTCGTCGACGTTATCACTTTTCCATGAATGGGGGATGACAGGGACGTTGCGTAGAAACCAGTATGGACAATGTTGACATAGCTGAAACCATAGGTGGAAGTTGGCATGTTCCCGAAAAAAGGAGGGTCCATTGGAAAGATGCTAGGGGTAGATATTGATTACGAGCTTCACCGGAGATGACATCGCACCAACCCAGCAAGAACATGGCGGACACGAACAGGATGTATAGTTGTGTATGTACATTTATTACCCTTAATCCATCACATTTCCATCTCCGATAACGTCTATGTATGTACAACCGCGCCTTATTTCTCTAAAGACAATTCACACCACCAGGATGGTCGGAGGTATAGGGTAGTCCAACTGCCCCTCCGCCACTGGCCCAAGCTCCATAATTTCTTTCGTGACTTCAACACCAGAGCCAGCAAGAACCATCATCACCATCAACAACACGAGCGCAATTCTCTGTCGCAACTCCGCTACCCGCCGCAACGCTCTAAAAATCTACCTCCGAAAGGAATATACACCAATGCGATAACCCGAGATACACCCGACGATGCTACGATCCACACATAAGCCCTCCGCGGCTGCCCTGGCGCCGTTGCCTCCAGGATGGACCGAGCACACGGCTCCAACCGGTCATACATACTTCTACCACGCCGAGTCGAAAGAGTCAACATACAAACGACCCGGTGTCGAGCCTGCCTCTGTGCAACTACCTGTGCATGGTGCAGCTCCCGCATTTTCTCCCTATGGCGCCGTGCCGTCCCTCTCCGACCCCAATGTCGCGAACGCCTATATGGCCCAATTCCATGCCTCCCAACAACCTACCCAGAACCAAAACCATCGTGGCGGTCATGGCGGCGGTCGCGGCGGATTTGAGGGCCGCCCGAAGCCCGCGCCTGTCGACAAGCCCAGGAGGAAAGAGGCGATCCCAGGCTGTGAGCCGTGGATCCTCGTGTACACCAAGTACTCGCGACGATTTGTCTACAACCCGATTAAGAAGACAAGCTACTGGCGCATTCCAGAGAAGCTGATGCCCGGAATCTTGGAACTTGATAAGGCGCGCATCCTTGGAAAGGCTGCCGGGGAGTCAGTGTTAAAGGACGAAGGGTCAAAACCAGCACCGAAGCCCGAGCTACCTCCGTCTCGTGCTCCTGATGCTACTCAGGACGACGACAGCGAATACGAGGAAGTTGAAGTTACGGACGATGAGGGAGAAGGCGATGAAGACAATGGAGAACATCCGTCTAAACGACAACGAACCGAAGAGGCTGACGAGGACGCGGTGGTGGAATTCACCGAGGCAGACATTGCTATGCAGCTACAAGCAATGGGCGAGGAATACGGCCTGGATCCTGGAGAATATGACGATGGTAATGCCGAGAATTGGCCTGAAGGCGCTGAAGGAGTGCCCTTGTCGGAAGACGACGCGAAATATCTTTTCAAGGACCTGCTCAACGACTTCAACATCAACCCCTACAGCCCCTGGGACAAACTCTTGGAGGAGGGCAAAATTGTAGACGACTTGCGCTACACAGCACTGGGAACGACCAAGGAGCGCAAAGAATGCTGGGACGAGTGGACGCGCGAGAAGATTGCGGAGCTGAAGGAGCAGAGGGCGCGACAGGAGAAGAAGGATCCCCGGATTGCCTACATGGCCTTCCTGCAGGAAAAAGCTACCCCGAAGCTATACTGGCCCGAGTTCAAACGCAAGTACAAAAAGGAATCCTCCATGAAGGACTTGCATTTGTCCGACAAAGACCGCGAGAAGGCCTACCGCGAGCACATCGCCAGGCTGAAGATGTCTCAGTCGACGCTCAAGTCCGATCTCACCGCGTTGCTCAAGGCTCAACCAATTAACCTGCTAAACAACAAGTCGCTGTCAACCGGCCTGCCGACCCAGATCCTGATCGACGTCCGGTACATATCCCTTGAGCCCAAGGTGCGCGACCCCCTGATCGAGGCCTACGTCAGCAACCTGGCCCCGCCGCCGGAAGACCTCGAGGCTGTCAAGGACGACGAGGATAAAAAGAAGCAACGCGAGGCTCGCGAGAAGCGAGAGCGAGCTCTTGAGGAGAGGAACCGTGCAGTGGAGGAGCAGCGGAGGAAGCGCGAGAAAGACGTGGCCATGAGTAAGGCTAGATTGAGGGAGGAGGAGAGGGAATTAGAGATGGCCATGAGAGTAGGCAAGCAAGGGTTACAAAGCCAATTGGCGAGCATGCAGCAGGATGACGCCAAGGACGTTTCCTGATGGCCTCAAGTCATGATTCACCTAGATTGTGTAATTGGTCATAAAGGGGCCGAAAATAGAAGCGAAACAAATACATATATTCTGGGAATGAAGCAGCAAGCTTACAGCCCATACATGAATGTCAACTTCTTATCTGCATATCTCCGGTCATTCAACCTCTCATTTTCCACCTCGGCATCTGTCATCGTGGCCAGTAAGATCCGCTTCCTCTTGTTGTCGGCCGCTAGCATGAAGCGATACGACAGATAGCCAATAAAGGCGACGACGAGGAAGCCGATGGTTGTATAAAACGGAACGTGATAGTCTGGCGAAAACTTCGGTCGATACAGCTGCGCACCGATGACGCCGCCCAGGTTACCGAAGCCGTTGACGCCCAGGACTAGCGACCGCTTGCCCGGCTCGGGCGTGTTGCCGCTCAGCCAGGCGATCGTGAGCGGCGCTGAGACGTAGATGCCCGAGAGCAGGAGACATAGCGCAATGTATTTGCCGGTGCAAGAGGGGACGGTGACGGTCAGCACGAGGCCCGTGATGGCCACCAGCACGCCGCCCATTATATGATAGCCGCGCTCCTTGCGGTGGTCGGAGCTGAAGGCGAAGATGTAGAGGCCGATGGCGCCGCAAACGAACGGGGGAACCGTCATCTTGAAAGAATGGACTGTTAGTCTAGTCCTGGGCACTTTCCGTTTCAAGTATAGAGAAGACTCACCAAATTGGCCAGGATGGACTCATATCCTAGCCCCTGAAGCACCAAAGGCAGAAACACCGGAAAAGCGCCACTAGGGACGCTGGCGCAAATGTTGAGCACAAGGACAGACCATAGTTTCCAGTCCTTGACCGTCTCGACGACATCCCTCTTGCTTAACCGATCCATCTCCATACCGTCCTCGCCATAGTCGTGCCTGACGAAAGCCGCCGTGTCCTGTTTTATCCGCTCCATAGCGAGGAGGCGCTCGTCGGGGCTGAGAAACCAGGCCGTCCCGGGTCCGCTGGGCAGCCAGAGCCAGGCTACGAGGGCGAAGAAGCATGTGAGGGTACCTTCGATTATGAAAAGGTACTGCCAGTTTTTGAGAGGGCCGCCGCGGAGGTGGAAGACGCCGTAGGCTGCGGGTTGTCAGTTGGGGGCAGAGGAGCGGTGGGAAATTAGGAGTCGCACCGATTGAGCCGGAAAAAGCGCCCGCGATGGCATATTGTCCGTAGAAGAGGGCGAGCCTGACGCCAAGGTCGAATCTGGTGTAGAAGGAGGACAGGTATGCGACTGAAGTTGGGTAGAAGCCGGCCTCGAAGACGCCGATGAGCAATCGCGTGGTGATGAGTGCCCCTGAGATCCAGTCAGAGGGAGTTAGGAATTGGCAAAGCAGGCGTCTAGGGGAAGATTTGGCATACCACGTCCTTTGATAAAAGCCTGGCCGATGGTCACGACGCCCCAGGAGAACTGGGATATTCATTAGTAACCGTTGGGGCAAAGCCCGCCGATCACCTCAGCCAACTTACCATCATAATCGGTATCCAGTGTCGCGCCCCGATGTATCGCCCCACTGCGGCAGATACTGGTTGGAGAAGGACAAAAGTCACGAAGAACAGGGAGACTGCTTCATTCAGGTCCTCTGGCTGAGCGCCAATGTCACTGGTGAAGCCTGGATTCCATCAGCTCGTTGTTTCCTTGGGTTATATCGAATGCTTTGTGGCTGTGAGCGCATACCTTGGGTTTCGGCATTGCCAACATTGCCGCGATCCAGGCCATTGAACAGATAGAGGAGCGATAGCAGAGGCAGAAGGGCGATGTCTATCTTGCGGTTAAGTGCTCGGTTCTGTATCTCGAACTCGTGAGTTGGTGCTGCCTCGACTGGGCAGCATGTTGTGGGTTGCGACGGCTGCAACAGTTGCGACTCTGGGTCTGTAGTCGTTGTCGAGGTCATCACCGTCGTCATTTCCACGGGTGCGTCTTTGGGGGATAACGAATAGGACTCTGTAGAGGAGCCAAACCTTATTCGCTGGCCAAGTCCGTGACGAGATTCGACGACGAGATTCGAGGGGTGTCCAAGGCTTGGATGGTTCTCGTTGTCAGGTCGGGACCGGCCGAGCCAAAGTTAGTCCAGTGACGTTGTTTTGTACCCGTTTCATGGACCAAGATGAAGACGCATCCCAGGCAGAGATGGTCTGCTGCCTTCACAGGATCCCTTCGAGGACAGGCTCCAAGGGTGCTGGGATGTCGGGGGTTCACCCCTCACCGAGTTCCCGGCATGCCCTAGACTTCACGTAAGCGGGGCCATTCATGAACCCGACTCGGGCGTCATGTTGATTATTATGGGCGCGCGGCGTATAGCATGGGGTAATGTAGCAGTGAGGAGGTCTTGGATGACGACCGAACGCCCAGGACAAAGCGCGCCCCGAAGTGGACCACCCGAGCCCCCAAATCTGGGTCTGAATCTGGACCCTGATACTAATTATCCGTTCACGAGGGGACGGGTTAGGCGTTTGGCACGTTTTGGAATGCTTTCAACGCCGGCGGTCTGGCCGTCCAGATTGTCGGGTCCCGCGGATAGCGTATCCGCCAATAAAGAAGGCCTGGGACGAGTCAGACTTTCCAGTGTCGAGGCGCTTCATTGAGCTCGGCGACGCTGGAACTAGCGGGGATGCTGCCAGACCAGCCAGTTGACTGTGAGAGAATGTGTCGTAGTTGAAAGGGTGGTGCTATGTGGCCGGGGGGTCCCAGCCTTCAGGCCTGTCTTCTCTCCACCTGACAGCTCGACAGGGACTTCAATCCTTGGATGGATGGATGGATGTTATCAATGAGATGAGTCCCATGACCTCGTGTCGACGCATTCCTTGGCTTGATGCAGTCATGCCCTCCATCTGCACGTCTGTAGGGCTGTAAGGCTGGCACACCCCAGCCCATGCATTCGCGCGGCAATGTACTATAGTAGTGTGCCTTGGTTAAATTTGATTCTGATGTCATAAACCGTTGTGTTGGTTCCCCGCCAGGGTCCCCCAGAGACAAGACAATTACCCCGAGATGTGTTGGGCCCTAGAATGTTCTCGATTCATCAAAGTCGTGTTCCAGAACAACGCCAGCCAAAGCGCTTCTCACCATTTGATGAGCTCGGGGCGCGCTTCTTAATCGAGTGGTCAACACTACCGCCCAACGCGACACTATATTCATCTAGCGGCTTTAGGTCGAACAAATCCTTCACCTGTAAATGAGGCTAATAAGAAGGCAGCCCGCCCCTTTGAAGCGTTTTGTCCAGACAGGCTTCTCAGGCCACTTTCATCCACAAGCGCCACCCCGGGAATAAAACGTTGCTTGCTGTGACAATCTGGCAGAAATCACTGAGTATCATCATTGGCCACCCACGGTCGTTATTCGGCTTGGCTGTGTTGCGTGTTCAAGCACGATGTGTGTATTGCGAAGGATGATTCAAAGCTAGAGATCAGTGAAGAACCTATCGGCGTCTTTGCGGATATTCTCAGCGCAATCAGCAATCCCTTCCCTGTCCGTAACGCCGCCCTCAGTCAAGTAGTAGTCGACCAAGCTGGACGAAACCCAGTCAGCGCAGGCGCTTTTCACCTCGACTCGTGGACTGGAATCTGTCTGCGATTGATCCGAGCCCCCCCGTGTTTGAGCGACGTCTTGCGGATGGTTCTCCTCCTTGATAGGGGATTCAAATGATTGTATTCTTTCTTTGTCGAAAAGCGCGATGACTTTGACACCTGGCGACACGTGTTTGGCTGCCAGGATTGCGGGTAACAAACCAGTCTTGTTGGTCACATTCCTGGTCTTATCAATCAGGTCCGCCCCGACGAGAATTAGATCGATATCTTTGGCAGCCGTGTTAAGACTGGCATTCTGATACACCGTGATATTCGCTTTGGTGGAGTCATTGTTTGCGGACGAGGGTATCGTATCGGCTATGTTGACGTCCTCAAAGAGTGGACGGGATTCGAGGACCCGGATATCAAGGGATGTCTTGCTATGTTTTAAGACTTGCGTGATACCGGAGGTTGTTGCGGAAATGGATGAGAGTGTGAGGATTCTGACAATTTCAGCCCTCGAAAAATGTGTTGTCAAGAATTCATCAAGAGACGCGCCGACTTGAGAGATGACATTTTTCCGATGCTGATTGTATTGTTCGAGAGCCTGGACAATGCAATTGATCGAGCCTCCGAGAGATGAACCGTCATGTGGCAGATTCTCCTCAATAATGGTCAAACTGGAGACCATGGTGCTTAAGATAGGCGCCCCCGTACTCTCCCCTCCATTCTTCCACAAGTGCCATGCGGCGAACCTCGCATTCTTCCACCACACCTCTCGTGAGTCCGTTTCAAGTTTCTTGATCACGTCGACGAGAATTTCGAGCGCTTTTGAGGAAATTTGGTGCCCACTGCTCTCGTAGTTGCTCTGCAGGGCAATCAACCCGTCCCCGAGTGTCCTGCCGGCCTCCTCTCCCAGATCAATATTGAACCAGACCCGCCTTAAGCTCTCCAAGATGCGGGGGACACCTTGGAACTCGTCTGACCCGTTGACAACGTCGGGGTCAAACCAATCATATCCTTCGTGCTCCCAGTCCAGCTGGATGCCAGCCTCACCGTGACCGCCTTCTTTTGTCGACTTCAGGACGAAACTAAACGGGTTGATAACCCATTCTCTGTCAACAGACTCGTCGACAAATGAGTATGGTTTACCCTGGCGAAAGAGGCGCAAAGAAGTATTTGTGAGAGTCGTCTCCTCCTTTAATTCTCGCCAGGCTGTGGCGAGCGGATTGGCGTCCGTTTCCTCGACGCTGCCCGCAATCGGCGCATATTTATGCCTGCGATTTTGTTAACCATTGTAACAATAAAAGGGTGGATAAGAAAAATGTCAATTAAAACTCACCGGTATGCTCGCACTTTGCCGCTCCTGCGGAAAAGTGCCACCTGGGGCTTCTTGGTGGTGTCGTCATCGGGGAACTTGAAGATGAAGCTGCCGGCGACAGCGCGACGCTGGAGATATGACATGGTTGTTGAGATGCTGCGTATCTGACGCGCCCAAGTACTAGCACACGATGCCGATCTGCAAAGGGCCACTCGTGCTGCCATGGTGAAAGCCGAGCGTCGAGAACTCGACATGGAGTGGTGGACGAATGGAAGTGATATTGCCGCGTTTCGTTGTGACGGAATCGCTGAGCCAACAGCTGGCGGCAGGCATCACCTGACGTCCTACGCGCTTACTGCACCTCGCACCGTTCAGCTAAATGCCAACTCCATCCAACCGTGACAAAGAGACTAGCAACATAAAATTACAGAAAATCAATCCACTTTTAGGTAGGGTATTTTATATAGACAAGAATTAATAGGGTTACAAGAGTATCCACTGCTGACTGTGCGCGGAGGCGGGTACGCAGCAACTACTTCTTACTGCTTATATCATATCAGATATGCCCCATACGGCTGCCAATCATCATCTATCCAAGATACTATTTCCTCATATAGTGTATGCCCTTGTTCAATATGAATAGGTTGCTGTAACACCTCTGAGGCGACTTTCTGCGGCCACGGTTGACCAATCTCCATCGGCGCCCGGGTCATGGCCGGGGTGTGTACGAGTTGATGCGTCGACTCGCCTGACCCGGCACTCGCCAAACACTGATCCATTGGTACCTGTAGGCGTTGGACGAGAGCCCGCAGGTCCCGGAGGACGGCGGCGCAGTCTCGACCATAGTTGCTTCCTACTTGGCTTTCCTCCTCGAATCTCGCAATGACGAAGTCAAGGTCGTGATCTCGCGCATGGGGATCTTTGGGGGCCACGTCCTCGATGTATATCAGCTCTTGAAGCATCAAGCAGATCGCCGCGTTAAAAATGAAGTGCAGGCCTGACTGAAGCAACTTCCTGGGGTGATTAAGGGCTAGAGTGTGGCGCGCGAGACGGATATTGTGCTCCGCTGCGACAATACATCGCCTGAGATAAGAGAGTTGCGGGTGGGAGTTTATTGAAGATTGTTTGGTTACTAGCCGCTCTGCAAATGTTTTCTTGACGGCAGCAAAGAAGACTGGGCGGATGGTGAGGATTATGAGCTGCAACGAAACAACTTAGTCGGAGATGCTGAGATGGACTATATTGCTTGACATACCTGGTTATATGCCATGTGTAATAAACAGCACGCGGGATCATCACTCATGCCATTGCTGGATAGCTGAAGGATCGGGGGAAGACCTTCTTGCCACTGGTCAAGCATTCTTATGGCATCGTCAAAGTGTCTTGCCGGCCCGTTCTTTTTCTCCCACGGGGACACGCGGTACGTGTTGCACACAATGTGACCCGAGATGCGCGAGAGCTCGACATGGGCCCTCAGACCGGCGGCTGGGGGCATCGAGCTACGTGACAAATAATTAGCTTGGGGAAGTTGGAAGCGTGAGATATTGTTTTGGGTACTTACGGAGCATCACAGGGTAGGGGGAGACGAATGGCATCATCCATGATGGCTGGTGGCCTGCCCATCAAGCAGCTCAACCAACGATCGAGTACATAGAGTGTCCAGAAAACCCTCTTGCCGCTCTCGTCAACCCACCCACGGTGCGCACCATGCATGATACTAATGTGCATAGCGTTGCTGATGTACATGTAGGCGGCGTCTCGTCTATTCATCTCGATCAAATAGAAGCCCATTAGTGACAACGCTGTAACGTCGTTGATGGTGAACCGGGTAATGTCGAGGGGATTGCCCAGGAGCAAACATGCCCGGCTGAAGAAGTACTCGCTCAAGTCCGTCTGCACCTTCGGACCTCGGGCTGGTGTGGTCAAGGCCTGGGATACAACAGCGAAGGCTGTGTGGTAAAATGCAAGATGCCGACAGTTGTCGCGGGCAACAGCGTGTGGTTCGGATTCCATGGGAGGCAAGCCCGGGACGGATGAGAGATCTCCCCACCAGGCTATGCCTCCGCTCGGCCAATTCCCGTTGCCGTCCTGGATGAAGCATCGCAGCTCGGAGAGCATGACTTGCATCTCATGGCGTGGGGGGAGCCATAGCGGATCGACATCCCGTTCGTGCAAGCGACGGGAGTCGTATGTTTGATAGCTGCCGAGGCTAGATAAGAAGGCGTTCCCATCAGAATCTGGGTGGAGGTCATGATAGGCGAGGTGGAAGACGGTGCTCATGAACTCCTTGAGGTAGTCGAGGAACGTGGCGCCACTTGTCTCACCGAGGAAGCGGGCGTGGCCATCGGGGTCGTGGAGAAGGCGGCCTTCGGTTGATGCTTGCTCTTCCTCATGATGATGATGGGGGTGGTGGTGGTGACTGTGAGGGAGAATTTGATGCTCGTCGGGACCCTTGGGCCGAATGGGATGAGACTGAAACTGAGGTTGGGATTGGGATTGAGGCTGTGGGTGAGACTGTGGGTGAGACTGTGGGTGAGACTGAGGCTGAGGATGTTGAGGATGCAAAGGTGGAAGAACACTGGACTCAGCCGCTGATGGCGTATCAGGATACGACTGCTCTGCAGATGGCGTCACAGCTGGCGTCCCAACCGTCGACGTCTTCGTAGCTGCCACGTCTCTAGCACTCGCAGCCGCACTCGAAGCGTCCTGTGAGAGCAGGGCGATGAGATCGTGGCGCCTCGTGGCATCGGGTACAGTATCCCGCAGCGCCCTCTCTAGGAGGTCAACCTTGCGCCGGAGATCTTCTAGCTCGCTGCGCGCAACCGACACCTTTTCGACGGCCACGGGATAGACGCAGTCGCGCGAAGAGGACGAGCACTGACGACACGGGTGGTCGCCAGAGCATTTCACGCGGCGGATGTTGCAGGCGTTGCATCTTTATTTGGTTTACTCGTGGTCAGACCATGGTCACATATTTCTGGGCAAGCACGGAGGCGGAGGAACCAGAGGAACCAGAGAAACACCACAGTCCTCGCCACGTCCTCACCACTCACTGCCCAACCTTGGGATCGAGAACTTACGCTGTCGCAACGCGTTTTCGGCGCTCGGGAGCCACCTTGTGACGACGGGGATTGACGGGCAGCCGTTGCGGGTTCGGTGGCTGCCGGCCAGGGCCATGACCGCTATCGCCGCCGTCGAGCCGCATCATGCTCGTTTGATCCGGGGGCTGTTCCACTCGAATACGTACGTAGTGCCCGTAGTGTGCGTAGGGGTCAGCGGCGGCGGGAGCCTTCGTTGCCGGCCGGAGGCGTTTGTAATGGTATGACGGCAGCTTTCTGCTTATGCTGCTGTTGCTGCTGCTGCTGCTGGTGTCTCGCTCAACTCGTCTCGGGTAACAGCACGGAGTACGTGACGGAGAAACGCCGCGCCCACGCCGCGCCCATGCCCCCCCCCCCCCCCCCCCCCAGCCGCTCGCTGCAGGGAGGGATTGGACAGGTCCAGGGGATCCCGGGATTACAGAACGGGACCAGATTCACATCCGCACTCCACTAAGGAACCAAGGAGCAGCACATGCCCCCGACGCCCAGCAGGATATACTGCGGCCAAGCCTCACTCCCGTGCTTCGGTGGAATCCATGCACATATACATGTCACCATATGTGCAGGCGGCCCGGAGCTCCAAGGCTCGGCGGATGGAAACACACGTCCCGGCGTCTGTTTGCTTGGACCGACTCTCTCTGCGCCGTTGGCATCATGAGGTAATTACTGCCCCCCCCGCCCCTAGTTGTTCCGGGTGCTTATTTAGGAATAGATGAGGGTGCCCTACTTGACTATTCTGGATGGATGAGGAAATCGTCGGTCCAGGAAGAAGCCCGAGAATCCTCGCATACGCCCGAGCCGAGTGCGGCACAAAACTTTTTTTTTTATCAATCAGTCAATCAATCAGTCGCTCATGGATTCGCATGAACATGACGCCCCCCCTAGAAATCGCGCTAAACGCCATCCCCATTTTACAACATGGGTTGTCCACAGATCCATTCCCATGCCTCGGTCTGTGAGAGCTTCGACTTCGACATTGGCTGGGCGACATCGGCGAGCCACTTGTTTTGGCCTAGTACACCACCACCATGAAAACAAAAAATCCTTATGAATCATGCCAACTAAATTCACACTGACCGAGCATCCTGGCTTCGTATGTACAAGCTGGAGTCTTGACGGACTGGGGTTGTTCTGGCGGTCGACCTGCAGGCCCCGCCCGTATGACGCACCCGCCGGAGCTCGCTCACCCAGGTATTGTCGTCTGCATGCGCTCCTGTTCTGTACCATGGTAGACGGGTATGTAACTTTACCGAGGAAGACGTACGTGTATCAAGGACGCCCGCCGGCGGCTGAAACAAAGTGTTAACCGCAGCCGCTGTCATGAGAGAGGCCCGCTTCAAGTCAGTTGGCAAAGTGGACATCGGAAATCCCCGCCATCGCGACGCAGCCACAACCCGACGTCTTACCGGTTGAGCTTCGTGTAATGTAACCACCCGGTCGAGAGTAGCGAGCTTTTGGGGAGAAGGGCGGCCGGATTAAGAAGGTGAGGTAAGTTCTCAGACGAGGGGCGAGTCTAATCCCCAGAGCTATTCGCAGAGCTGGTCCAGGTGACACAATCGTGATCGAGATGATCAGAGGAGCAAGCGCAAGCACAGGCAGTGTTGAAGAGACATATTGTCAGAATTGTTTTTGTACGCCCACACGGGCCCTAAACCGTATCTAAAGGGAAGAGTATAAACACCAAAGAAATTCCACCATTCTGAAAGCTGATATCGTGCGTAAAAATAAAATAAAAAATGTCGGCGTCTTATGCTTCTCGAGAGTCCAATATCAAGTTCTTTCTTTTCTTGTCGCTGCCCTTGCCACATTATACACTGCCCGCTCGTTCATGTCTTCGTTATTTTTCTACTGCTTGAAGATGGTGTTGACCATCTCGCCCGATCGGGTGGCCAGGACGGACAGGAGGGTATCGCTCAGCTGTGGATATCGTTAGCACGGTTGACTAAATTGATGATGCATGGGAATGTGTGCGCTTACCCCGTGAGTTCCCTCGCAGCAGCCCTGCAGCCAGACACCGGAGCCCTCGGCAACGGAGCCGGGCTGGAACTTGACCTTGTAATCTCGGCCGACAGCCAACTTGCGCTCGCCCTGCTCCGTGTCGACGTTCCAGCCGGTCACGGGCTTGCTGAATTGGGTAGCGTTGCGCTGGGTGACGGTCTTGGGCAGCATGGTCCAGGCATCCTTGAGGATGTTGACGTGGGCGTCGCGCCTGTAGCCAGTGGCAGCGACGACGAGGTCAACCTCGAGAACCTCCTCGTCAGCGGCATCGACGTAGCCGTCCAGGGGGATGTCGTGGATCTTCTGGACGCGGATCTCGATCTTGTCACCCTTCTCCTCGACGCTGGTGATCTCGCGGCCGGCAAGGATACGATGAGGCCATTGGGTCTCGTCGGCGCCAATCAGGCGCTTCTGCTCATACATCTTCTCGTAGAGGTGCTCGATCAGGTTCAGGCGCACAACACCGTAGTTGGTGGCGCGGACCTCATCCAGGAAGCTCTGTCGGGAGGAAGCCGACCTGGGGTAGATGTTGTCGACGTACTCGGGGTTGAAGATGGTGTTGACGCTGTGAGAGATGAAATTAGCATTGAAAATTGGGATTTCTGTCAGAATTGGTATGAGGACTTACAAGGGCGAGTCATCACTAGGTCGCAGGAACTCCTGGCGCATGAGGAGGGAGGTCTTGGAGTTGGGGTATAGTGACTGGACGTTGTTGAAGATCTCGGCGGCGCTCTGGCCGGCACCAATGACGGCAACGCGGTAAGGCGCATCGGTCTTACTGAGGATCTGGGGGGCGTAGGTGGCGAACTGGGAGGAGTGGAGGACGCGGGGGTTCTTGGAGGGGAGGCTCTTGGGGAGCGAGGCCTGGCCACCGGCGGCAATGAGAACCTGCTTGGTGCGGAAAGACTGGAGCTGGCCAGTCTTGCCATTGCGGGCCTGGACGGTGAAGGTCTTTACGGCACCAGCCTCCTTGTTGACGGGGGTGACGGCGACAACCTCGTTGTTGTACTGAACGACGTGGTCGAAGAAAGAAGAGCACCAGCGAAGGTAGTCCTCGAACTCGGCGCGGGCGGGCAGGAAGGTGTCCAGGTTAGTGAAGTCAATGAGACGGCCGTTGCGGTGGACATAGTTGAGGAAAGTGAACTCGGATCGAGGGTCGCGGAGGGTGGCCAGGTCCTTGATGAAAGAGATTTGCATCTTGGCGCCAGACAGGAGCATGCCGGCGTGCCATGCGAAGGCAGACTGCTTCTCGAGGAAAAGCACCTTGGGGGGAGCGCCGTCGGCGCGAAGCTTCTGGCCGTTGGCAATGGCATCGTTCATGGCAATGGCCACGGCGAGGGAGGCGGGGCCGAAACCGGCGCAGATGAGATCAAACTCAGAGTCTAGCGGAGAGGCCTCGAGGTACTTGGAACGCTCCTTGTGGGCCTTGACGCCGTTGGAGGGGGTGGTGCTGCCATTGAACTTGGTGGTACCGTTAGAGATACCGTTGGAGATGCCGTTGCTGCTGCCATTGAAGAGGGCCGGGGCGGTGCCATTGGTGCCGTTGGAAGCTCCGTTGGTGTGAACAGGGATGCCGGCGTCCTCGGAAATCTCGCTGTGAGGAGTCATGATGGCGATAACAGGAAGGGGTATCAAGAGTTGTGGGTATAAAAATAAAATAGAGGGGAGAACTGTATCGATTCAAGCGATGACAGTCGAGGTGGTCGTCAAGATCGTTCGTCCCGGGAGCTTGGAGCTTGAGAGAGAAGCGAGGAGAGGCTTTCGGAGGAGGGTGATGAATATATAGAAGAGGTCCGGACGGAGGTCACCGGCTGAACGGGCAATGGGTCAAACGATTGTTTGCTTTTTGGCCGGGGAGTAGCCAGTTGTGGACACGGGCAGGACGTTGCAGCACGGGAGGGTCAAGCAGGGTCAACGATTGGGGGTATGTGTGTCGTGGATGAAGCTTCGTAGGGCTGTTCCTGAATAGGTATGAGGCACGAGAAGGAGGAGGGGGGTGTCGAAATGGGAAGGGGAGGGGGGCAATTCGGACAATTGGGGGTATAGAAAATATCTCTCGAAGTCTGGTTCAGTAGGCGAGGCTTGTTTAAGTAGAGGAGGGGAGGAATCGGACGCAGGACCAAGAGAAGCTGGTGGGAGACTTGGGCATTTTGTAATTGTTCGGGAATAGGATCTACAGTAAGTGCTCTAAGGCCCCAGGCCGGACTCTAGCTCGTCCGGCCACGGCCATGTGCTTCGCTTCTCGTTCGGAGGGAAAGAAGAAAAAAACTAGACGACCCCATGAGAGGGATCAGCCAGCGAGGGTTTCGAGAGGCTGTGAGGCTGGAACGGGCGGACAAGCGAGCGCGAGCGAGGTACATGGCAGAACAGGCAGGACGAGATGGATAGCGGCGCGCCTGCGGGAACCGACGACACGACACGACAAAGGTACATGGATAATGATGGTGCGGACTATGGGGACTAGCCGGGACGCAGAAGGTAACTAGAGCTGACCCGGTCTGGATGGGTTCTGTCTGCCGGCCGACCAAGGCCGAGGGAGGAGCCTGGACGGCGGCTGGCGTGGGGACTCGAAGGATGAGAGGAAAAGTAGCACTGGGCTCATGACTGGATGGATGTGTAGAGCTGGACGTGTGTACATGCTCAAGCAGGCGGATGGTGGAGGTGGATGGAGGTGGATGTGGATGTGGAGGAGGAGGCGTGTATGAAGGGATAGAGGGGGAGAGAGGGGAGGGGCGCGAATGTATCACGATCGATGGAGCACGCACTGGAGTCATCATCGCCGTCATGGACGTCCACGTACGTATCGCACTATACAGTAGTGCGTGGTGGATGTAGATGTGGATGTAGGTATGCGCAAGGACCTGACGCTCGAGGCGAGATGTCGTTGATAATTAGTTGCGGTATGCTCGGCAGTGGGTGGTGAACTGAACTGCGAATCGTGAACTGTGAGACAAGAGACCGGGCTGACTGGACGAGGCAAGGGGGACACATGACGGAACCAGCAGAAGTGAAGGGTCTGGAGAGGAGGATCTGAAGGGAACAGCCACCAAAGGGCCATCCATCCACCCATGTTACGGCTCCAGACCAGCTCCAGACCAGCTCTAGACACCAGTTCCCGATCCCAATGGCGGGAGCCCATAGCCGAAGCGTGCCCGCGGGTCCTATGATTGTCTCATGCGCATGCAAGCCCAAAACTCACGCCCAGCTTGGTCCCTTGGGTGTGCCACGGGCTCCATTCTGGGGCTGGTGGATGACCCAGAGGCTGGTTCAGAAGTCGGCGCCGAAGCGGGCGAAGGAAAAAAAATGTCGCGCAGTCAACGCCTCCATGGCCACGGCCTTGGCCCACGGCAGACCTCGTGGATGGGGCCGATGATGAGAGGAGGAGGGGAGGAGGGTGTGGACTGTGTGGGTGCTGTGGGCTGCGTGTGGGTGTTGTGGATGGAGACCGTGAAGTCCCGTAGCGCACCCCGTACGAATACGTACAGCGGTGATTAGTGGCATCGGTGCAGCGGTGCAGGTGCAAATACGTTGAGAGCTTCAGAGACCGCTGCAAGCACGCACACACGCACGCACGCACGTATGCACGCAGTCCACTCCTCATCTCCGAACGGCATCGCACCGGCTCGTGGCATCCTAGAGGTTCCCAACTCGTTCAGGCTCGGAACGGGCCCCCCCAGGGCCATGCATGGCGTTTGGGTCAGAGAGTGCCGGCAGTGGGATGCGACAGGATCACGGCCAAGATCACCAAGGGTCGCCATCCAGGATACCTGTAGCTAGCTAGTCAGGATGGGCAAAGATTGACCAAGATGGAGCGAGATGGATCAAATCTGGATGTACCTGCCTACCGCCACCAGCACAAGCTTCGAACCACAGGCCGTGAGACATTATCTATAAGCTGTAAGCAAGCCACTAGTTAGCCAGTGACCAGCAGCAAAAATCGACCATCTCCTCGGAATTGCTCCGTCTGGTCGTTGAGCAGCGATGAGATGATGCGTGACGGCATGCCCAGCTGTAACCGACGTACTTCTGTTAACGCACGGGAAGTCCCCGAGCATGTCACGTACCGCCCGTGATGCAAGCTGTACGTATGTCCATACGTGCGCGGCTGAGAGAATTGCCATACGTCCCTGGGTGCGAGTAATGCTGCACTGCGCTCGCCTGATCTGGTGGGATTCGCTCGCTGTTCTGCCGGGTCCAGGATTAGCCACTCGCTCCGCTCCGGACGCCCCTGCTCCTCCCTCCTACCTCCCTCTGCTTTCCATGCCCTTTCCAGGACACTGCCCATTCCCGTTTATACACGCCATTCCTGTGTCACCCTCTGCCTTCATCTTGCTGGCCGGTACTGTTGCTGCTGCGGCTGACCAGTGGGGTGGCTGCAACCAAGCGTGAGAAACTTGGATGCTTGGATGCTTGGTCCTTTCGGCCTCAGAGGACCCGGACCGGCGGGGTGGGGGGTGTCTGGACTATGGAGGGACAGGCGGGACATGGGTGCTCCATGAGAGTAGTGGGGGACGAGAAGAGGAAGAAAAAAAAACCAGCCGAAACCATCCCATGGAGAAGCCGATGATGGTGCGACGTCGGTGATGATCTTCTGGTTCGATCAGATAAGATTGCGGAAGAGACCAGGGACGCCAAAACTGGATGGTGCCGACCTAGGCGGTAGCAGCGAACGCCAACGCCAACGCCAGCGCCAAGGACCTGGGCCGCCCATCCAAACAAGGACATGGCCAAGACACTGACCACGGGCCCCGGCATCGTGGCGTGCGCTCATACTACGTATGCTGCTTGGACACTCACTCCGACATTGTGCATTATACTGACTACGAACTGCTGAATAGAAGGAAAACACTCGCTGGGATCCAGCTTGGATGGCGCTACTTGAGACCCTGGCTTGGACGCCACCCCTGGCATGGCGCGAATACCGACTGGTCAGCTGGAAGCCAGCTCGAGAGCCAGCTCGAGAGCCAGACGCCGTGGGTTACGCACCACCGTACGCCTCCGCCGCCGATGACGGCAGTCGCACGAACCCTGAAGGAAGAAAAAAAAAAGAGACCGTCGTCAACGCCATCGGAGCTGATCGCAGTGTCATGCGAGAACCGGGGTCTCGAAGGGGCAAAAGACCGCAGATGGAAGTTGTGATTTGGGTAGGCCGGGGGTAGGCCGAGCAGCGAGGCGCGCTAGAGACCGCGAATGGAGAGAGGCGGGTGTGGTTTTTATGGCGTGTGGAGATTGAGGGAATTATCTGATGATCTGATAAACTGGATCTGATAAGATCTAGGTAATTAGCACGCTGCTTGTGCCAGGTTTAATGCACGTACAAGGCGGTATATTCGCTGCTCTTTTTCTATATACGCACTACGGTGCCGGTAGGCCCTGTCCTGGCCCTGCACGGCGAAGCTAGTGGAGGACTGGAGTGGTTACCGATGCGCCCCAGAAACCAGGGGTCTTCCAGTGCCCGTCCAATGTCCGTCCAATACTCAACTCAGAAACTCCGCTTAGTATCCCTGCTTCTGCTTACTTGCTCTCCAGGTACCGATCTAGTGACGGGGGGGTCAGTGAAAGAAGAAAAATTTTCTTTTTCCTGTAACCATTACGTCGGGGCTTCTTGGCTTTCTTTGCCGCTGGAGGTCCTTTGTTGCATTGCTTTAATTGGAGACTGGTTTCACTCGCAGTTTCTGGAGGGCGTTGGGCAGCCAGTCAACCCCAACAAACAGGCATAGGGGACTCCAAATATTCCCAGACAAGGTATTGCACGAAACATGTTCTCCATCCCTACCTTTTTAGAATACTACCTCCATACACCATCCGTCCACCTGCAACACTGCCTGCAGAAATATTCAGGCCTTTAACCGCGAATGCGAGTAGGAATCGTTACATCGTGCGTGTTTGTATGCAGACGTGGCACGACCTTGCTCCATGCTCGGAGCTTGGGCGCTCGGCGCCGCATCCCATGGAATGGGTTCACCGTTCCGTGCGTCGGGATGGCGTTTTTTTTTTTTTTAATTTTAGGTTTTGAGTGACAGGACTGGAGCAACGTTGAAGAAGAAAGAAAGCTTTGACTGGTACGTATCATGTAGGCGGGAGGGGAGTCGATGGGCTGGCTGCACAAGCACCCGTCTATCCATTACGTTGTTTCCACAAGTGATCGCCACCAACCCTTACCACCGGGACATTCTTACCCTCTCTTGTTGCCATGTTTTGATGAGTTTATGTCCTTTGGACCCGCTGGTTCCAGGTTGGCCTCCGAGTTTCGCTGTTCTCTCCTCTTGTTGTCTCCCTCTTTCGCTCCTGCCGTGTCTGCCGTGCCTTATTTCCGCTCCGAGATATGGCCCGTCTCTGCCTCATCAGGATGACGAACCAAGCCACCTCGATCCATAAGTGGAAAAGGCGGCTCTTGAGAGGGGCGATTTACGTACAGAAGGTTACGGGACGATCCACACCGGCAGTGCCGCAACTTACGCCCTAGGGATTTGCCTCCGTGGAGGTGCGCGTGCGTGTGTCGGTTCTTCGCTCTCGTCCGGCGTGGGCCTACCTAGCCTCGTCTGGTGATGGCTACTTCACCGTAAAGCCGGCTTACCTCGAATGATGCTAGGTGAGCTGCAAGCCAACATCGCGAACCCCTGGTTTGTCAGGGACTAAACTCGTTTCAACGTCTGCTGCGCAACCGCCGTGGCTCGACTTTACTCAACCGAGCTCTTCGCACATAATTACAAACGAACTAATACCACATACTTCATATGGGCTCCATGGAGCTGAAGGAGCTTCCCAGTTCAGGCCCGGCACAGTTCGGTACCTGGCTGGCTTCTCTGACCTTTCCCAGTTCCATTTCCCACGCCGCAACAAGCGGGCTCCCCAAGCTACCTAGGTGCGTTAGCTTGCGTTGTTCGGCCGCGCCTAATGAGCCATCGGAGGTCATCCTCGGTCCTGCTGCTTTTGCTACGGGGGGCACATGCTACTCCTAGCGCGCCGCTGCGGGCTTGATCGGGCCCTGCTCCTGCTAGGCGTTGCTCACTCAGCCTGTTAACCCTGCTAACCCTGCTCAGTGTTAACCCTGTCCAGCGCCTGGTCGGACTCGGTGGATCCCCCCGTCCGGAGGGGAACCCCACGCTTTCACGACGCTTTCCACGCCGCTCTCCCACGCCCATAGGGCCATAGCCCACACCACCCATGTCCACTTTTCATCATCACCATCCATCATGTCCGCCATTCACCACCATCGCCATCGCCATCAAGCGTCTCTCCACTATCCGCCATCTGCTTTCCGCCCTGGCAGCGCGGTAACGGTCTGGTCTTGCCCCTCCCAAGGACCCGGCTCTCACTACATCCAAAAGGGAGCCCACATCGTGCCATCTCGGGCGGCGGCGCACGGCTCATGTGCAGTCCATGTGCAGTCCCATGTGCACTCGCTGCAGTCCCAGACTCCCAGGTCTCCATGACAGCGCAGCATCCCACGCCTGGTCTCCCGATTCCCGTCCCGCAATTGCAAATGCCAATGTCAGTGGTCTCTCCGCGCGCGGGCACGACTCCTCCCTCAGCTTCACCTTCACCTCCGAAACACCTCAACCGCAAGTCCACGACAGGACCGCAAACGCCGCATCACTCTCGGTAATCCGAATACGCGCCGACCACACACCATCTTGTTGCTTCCCGTCGCTTCCCCTCTTCTCTCGGGTTCCGTTGACGCTTCCATGACTCTTGGCCCATCCATCATCCACCTTGTTGCTCTCCCGCCCATTCTTCCCTCGGGCTTCCACACGGCTCGTCCCGACCACCTCTTGCACCGCCTCCTCCTCCTCATCGTTACCCTCCCATTTTTTACCCATCCTCCCGCTATTGTCCATCCCCCCCCTCATGGCTCTAGTTTATGCCATGTGCTAAACCTTGATTTGATGCTGTCTCGCATCGATCCCCCACGAAACATCCATTCCTGTAGGTATGGTACGTAGCTTCCCACTGAGACAAGTCTAAACACAAGCCATGCATCTTCACTTTCACCCTTATTGCCATCGACTTGCCGAGCAAGCTGCTGCAGCTGCTGGCTGATACCGTGCTCCCTCGAGGGTATCCTTGCCATCCCGCACACCCCCCCTCCTTCATCAACACAATCTCCCTTCTCCTCCCGTTCGTCTTTGTTGCCTCACGCAGCCGAGCATCTCGAAATTTCCCGATGGCAAAGCTGCCCCGGCCCCTCGGCTCTCTGCGGGACTAAGACGGACACCCACGCAAGCCATGAAGCTGCCTGCCGTGGCCCGGCACAACCTTGTGGTCGAGAGCCCCGCACCGGACGGACGCCTGCCGGATCATGCCAGTGGTCAGGGTTGATATATTTGGGATATACGGGCGAGGTTCACAGCTGTCTCAAGCCTGACCACGACCTCGCTTGTCTCTCATCTCATTTGCGGTCCCTCCCCCACGACTACTGGATAGGGAAGTCAGTTTGATAGGCTGGTCAACGGAGTGTCACTGGCTCACGAGGGCTTTGTTCCCACCACCATTACCCAGCCGCCTTGGCCGCCCTGACCGCGCGTGGAGGGACCCTGAACATTTGAGACATTGAACCGTTGGATCCCTGAAACCCATCGAAAGAACCGGCAGGGGTTAGCTATCCTTGATCGGGGTTGGTTCGTCGATCCCAGGCCAGGCGGCTTCAAGCAGGTTGCCCAAAGAGGAGCCAACAGGTCCCGGAGATGGCCCCTCCCGCCTCTCGGGCTTACGCTTCATGGCGCTGCTTTTACCCAGTCCAGACGACCGTACAGCAGTGAGAGCGTTAGTGCTCAACGAGCGGCATGGGAAAATGAGGCGGCAAAATCGTGACGCCATTTTTGGTTCATCCCAAGCCCCGGAACCCGCAGCGCAAGGCCACCGAAGCCACCATCCCACGCTCATCCCAGCCTCACCGTGACGCTCCCCACGACTTTACGACACACCGGCCCACCCGACAAAGAAAGCAACTTCTCCCGGCTCTCACACCACCCACGCACCGGCCTGCTGGTGATGTGCCATGTCTCACTCGCCCACTTCCCACTTGCCCACTTCCCACTTTCCCACTTCTCACTGTCCACTGCCCAATCCCATTCGTTCTTATTTGCTGTCGCTGTTGACGCTGCTGAGCTTCGCTGAGTAATTCCCCAACGCTGACAGGCTGGATTATAATCCATGACAACCTTCTCCTGCACGCCCCCCGATGAGGCGAAACCACGCCGTGCAACCTCCAGCCTCTCCCCGGCGAATCATCACAGTCCCGATTCAACTACAGCTGACGACTGTTCGATTTACCTTCATTCCCATTCGCGGTCATCATCCCCTCCACTCGCCTTGTCACCCGTCCATCCCGCCTCTTGGCCCGCGTGGTGGAAACGTAGAAGCAGCCTGATATTGGTCCACCCAATCTAACCTAATGGCGTGGTTGTCGACTCCCTGTGCCCCGGAAACAGGCGCATGACTGACTGCAACACTCCCCAAAAGGACGCTTTCTTCTACCTGCAGACACCTATTGTCTCCGTTTCTACTGTGGTTGTTGCTTGTTGGCCCTATCGTCGCTGCTTGTCGCTCTCGCTCTCGCCCTCCTTATCCTCATCCTCGCCATCACCTCTCCGTTGCTGCCCACCACCACCACCACCACCACCACCACCACCGTCGCCCCCGTACTTCTACGCAGCAGCAATATGGATCCCACCGGCCTCTCAATCCTCAACGAGCAGGCCTCGAGACTGCCTGGACCGGACCTTTTACATTGTCTCGTCAGTCCTCCCAGCAAACTCACAGCCCTGGATTATTTGGGAAATAACAAGCGAATTTCCTTCAACTATAACCAATTGCACGATGCAGCAGATGCATTGGCAACTCGCATATCTAGAGCCGCAGGCAGCGTGCAAGGGCAGTTTGTGGTTCCAGTCCTTATCCACCAATCTCCTCTCCTCTACATCTCGCTCCTAGCCATCCTCAAAGCTGGAGGAGCCTTCTGCCCTCTGAACATTGACGCACCCCCTGAGAGAGTAAAATTTATCCTCAAGGATGTGGATGCGGCCGTTGTGGTGGTTTCTCGGGAACTACTATCTGGAATTCCCCAGGACATCAGCCCCACCGTGCTAGTCCTTGACGAGGAGGATTGCATGGCCACTCCGTCTCCAGAACTACAGTCGGAACACAGAAAGCCCACCCTAGACGATCTCGCCTATGTGATGTACACGTCAGGTTCGACAGGCACACCAAAAGGCGTTGGTCTTTCCCATGATGCGGCAACCCAGGCTCTCCTAGCCCATGATAGACACATTCCCTCCTTTTCGCGCTTCCTCCAGTTCGCAGCTCCTACCTTTGATGTTTCGGTCTTCGAAATATTCTTCCCGCTCTACCGGGGATGCACTCTTGTCACCATCCGCCGGGCAGAGATGCTGAACGACCTTCCTGCCGTGCTCCGAACGATGGAAGTGGACGCCTGCGAGCTCACGCCCACGGTTGCGGGAAGTTTACTTCGAAAACGAGAGAATGCTCCAAATCTTAAAGTCTTGTTGACCATTGGTGAAATGCTCAATGCACCAGTGGTAGAGGAGTTTGGTGGAGATGATAGCAAACCCAGCATGTTGTGGGCAATGTACGGCCCAACTGAGGCTACAATTCACTGGTAAGTGAAACATCTGTGCGAAGACCATTCAGGCGCTAATACTGGACCTTAGCACCCTCCAGACAGCATTCACGGCCGATTCATCAACAGGAAATATCGGCGTGCCTCTCGATACCGTTTCCTGCTTCATTGTCGAAGAGGCAAATCCTGAGGTTTCGGAACCACAATTCAAGATTCTACCTCAAGGCGAGATTGGAGAGCTCGCAGTTGGAGGTTACCAACTCGCCACCGGATACATCAACCGCCCAGAGCAAACAAGTTTGGTTTTCATACAAACCCCATACGGCCGAGTCTACCGCACCGGAGACAAGGCTCGTCTTCGCTCGGACGGAGTACTGGAGTGCCTCGGTCGCATTTCCGATGGCCAAGTCAAGCTTCGAGGCCAGCGTCTCGAACTTGGCGAGGTAGAACAAGCTGTTCTCAGGACATCCGGATGCCATAGCGCAGTAGCTGCAGTGGTGAAGTCCATATTGGTGGTTTTCTGCGCAGTCGATGTGGGAGTCGCCGAGCAGACTATCCTAGAAAGATGCAAAGACTGGCTACCTCAATACATGGTTCCAGGCGAAGTGGTTCTGATGGATGAGTTTCCGAGACTCCCAAGCGGCAAAGTTGACAGAAAAAGGATGAAAGCCGATTATGAACAACGCAAGACGGACTTGGCAGAAAACTCTCAGGAGGTAGAGCCAACGGACGAGCTTGAAGCCAGAGTCATCGGAGTTGTGTCAGACGTCCTCAATTTCAATGCGAACAGGTCGACCTCGCTTGCATCTGCAGGTCTCGACTCCCTCAGGGCAATCAAGTTGGCATCCGCTCTTCGAGAATCAAACTTTGACCTGAAGTCTACAAGTTTACTGTCAATGAAGTCTGTCGCCGATATTGTTTTTGCGATTCGGCGACAGCCAACCAAGAATTCTCTCAACCCCGCAACAAGTCAGATTAGCCTCTCCGGAGATCTGAGTAATGTCTTGGCGCACAACACGGCACTGCAAGAGATAAGCGAGTTGATCGAAGATGTGATACCTTGTACACCTCTACAGATGGCTATGCTGGCCGAAACAGCACAGCACTCTGCAGCTTATTGCAACGAGATTGAGCTGGAGATTCCGCAAGGATACACCGCGCAACAGGTCTCATCGTCCTTCAGAGAGCTGGTTCAGCGGAATGAAGTTCTACGTGCCGGTTTTACACCATTGCAAAACAGCTTTGTCTTAGTTCTATTCAAGAACCTCCGGGTTGGACAACTCAACATTGTTGAAGAGTTCCAACGGACGTTTGCGATTTCGGACCCCGCGGACTATCTGAACCCACTGCGAATTCAAATACTGAGAGAGTCTGCCACTGCCGGCCCACGTGTGCTTGTTCAGCTGCACCACGCAATATATGATGGCTGGTCCATGGACATTCTATTGTCTGATCTGTCTACTCTCCTGTCTTCTGGCTCAGTGGTATCTCGTCCGCCTTTCAGGGAAGTTGTCGCATTTTACAACGCACCTGAAAACCAGGCGGTTGATGACGCGGCACGGGTATTCTGGACAGAACATCTTGTCGGCTGGAACAAGACTCCCTTCCCGAAATTGAATCACAGGGTTGGAAAATCAAATGAGATTAGCACAACTCGAACGCAATTGGCGATCCCCAAACAGAAGGTGGATGATGTGATCCAGAGGATAGGTTGCAGCACTCAGGTGCTCTTCCAAGCGTCGCTAGTTCTCCTATGGAGCGGGATCATGGGAACGCAGGACGTTCTCATTGGCTCTGTGACGTCGGGAAGGACAATCCCCGTCGCAGGTGTTGAGAAGATCGTCGGGCCTTGCATTGCATCTCTTCCTCTGCGAGTGGACTTGAGCACTGTGACTGCCAACCTGGATATTTTGAACAACATCCACTCCAGCAATCGCAAGGCTATGCAGCATTGCATGCTTCCCCTTGCTGAAATCAAGAAGCTTGCTGGCTTACAGCCCGGCGAAAGCTTGTACGACGTCTTGTTTGCGTATCAGGAATCTCTTGACAGCTCAGCACGCATCCACAATCTGGTAAAAGAGACAAGTCATCTTGACCGCCTCGAAACGCCGATTCTGTTTGAGGTCGAGCCAACACAAGAAGGGTTCACTCTGCAGGTGACACATCGGCCCGATGCCATTCCATCAGTACTCATTGAGCACATTGTTCAACAATTTGAGACGATGAGTCTCGATATCCTCGAGAACTCTGCCCAGGCCATCAAAACGACCCAACGCAGCATCAATGTTCATTTGTCGACTTACAATACTACCCCTGATGTTGGTCAAGAAATCTCAGACTTGTCGAAGGGGTTCGAAGCAGCCGCATTCCATCACCCCACACTCAGTGCGCTATGCTTTGTTCAGCAACTGTCAGGGCAGCGCAAACTCACGACAATGTCATTCCAAGAGCTTAACACCTCTGCAAACCAGCTGGCCCGGCACCTAAGACAACAAGGCGCTAAGATCGGCGACGTGGTTGCGATTATTATGGACAAGTCACCAAGCTTATATCTCTCCATACTGGCCATTCTGAAAGCTGGCTGTGCCTATCTTCCAATTCTGCCCTCAACTCCAGCTGTTCGCATCCAGGATATCTTGAAACAAGCCCACGCAAGGTACTGCCTGGTTGATGATGAGTCGAGCCCCGCTGTCCCCAGGGCTCCTCGAACTTGCTGGATCAATGTCGATTCTGCTCCCTTGGGCAATCAATCTAGCTACAATCTCGATTTACCGACGGATACTTCTCGATTGGCCTACGTCATTTACACCTCTGGGACGACCGGCGTTCCCAAGGGCGTGGCTGTGCAGCAAAAAAGCATCATGTCCAATCTCTCGGTCCTCAAATCAACGTACCCAGCTAGCTCAGGGTCTCAGGGTCGTTTCCTGCAAACTTGCTCACAAGTGTTTGATGTGTCTGTCTTTGAGATTTTCTACACCTGGCACATGGGAATGTGTCTCTGTTCAGGCCTGAACGACACACTTTTCGAGAATCTTGAGAAGTCCATTCGTGAACTGGATATTACGCACTTAAGCATGACGGCCACTGTTGCATCTTTGGTTGATCCTCGCAACATTCCTAGCGTAGAGTTCCTCGTCTCCGCTGGCGAGGCGTTGACCAAGTCTGTCCTAGAGAAATGGCATGAGCAGCTGTGGCAAGGTTACGGACCATGCGAGCTGACCAACATCTGTACAGTCAAGAAGATGTCCTCTGGCGACAATGTTGAGCATCTGGGACATTCTCTCCCGAACACCTCGGCTTTCGTTCTATTCCCAGGAAGCCTTGACGTATCTCCTCTTGGCTGGGTTGGAGAGTTTTGCTTTGGGGGTCCTCAGGTGGCCCAGGGCTATCTTAACATGCCTGAACTGAATGCAGAGAAGTTTGTCGAGCATCCTCAGTACGGCAGACTATACCGGACCGGCGATTTGGGTCGGATGTTGGCTGACGGATCAATGCTGATAATCGGCCGCATGGATGGCCAGATCAAGCTCAGGGGACAGCGGATCGAGACCACCGAGATTAACAGCGTTGCTACCTCCACCGGACTGGGAAGCTCGGCTGTGACTCTGCTGGCTCGACAACAGAAGACAGGCGCAGAACAATTGGTCTTGTTCTATGTGCCAGAAAGGGGTCATTCTGATTTCTGTGAGATGGAAGTTGATGCGGAGACGCACCGCTCTCTCTTTTCACTCTTGCAATCACGACTGCCCGCCTACATGATCCCGTCGTATTTGGTACCTGTTTCAACTATTCCGCTTGTTCCCAGCGGCAAAGTTGACCACCGTGCCCTCCACTCGTGTTTTGAACACCTTGGGCAACAATACCTTGAGACCGTGTCAGGCTCGTCGCAAGATTTCCACGACGATGGCGATTGGACCTCTATGGAAACAGTTGTGGCTGAAACCATCGCTCGCTCAACCAAGTCGTCAAGACATGACGTTGGGAGGTGGACCCCGCTCCCGATGCTGGGAGTCGACTCAATATCTGCAATTCACTTGAGTCGCGAGCTTGGACTTCAGTTGAAGAAGCGAGTTGCTGTCTCTGAAATTTTACAACACCCAACTGTTGCGCAGCTCTCTCGTCACCTCTCTAAAGAAGCCCAGGACCAAAATGAGGTCAGCCCTGTGGAGTTTTTCCCGTCTGCTTTTGTCGACTCTGTGACCAGTTCCTTTGCTGAACGGGGAAAGACCGTCGAAGCTGTTCTGCCATGCATGCCACTCCAAGAAGCGATGCTCTCGCGTGGCCAGAGAAGTTATTATAACAAGGTCCTCCTACGACTTCACATTGAGCCCCGGATTCTCAAAACCTACTGGAAGATTATGGCTGAACGACATGACATACTGCGAACTTGCTTTGTCACTACTTCTGATTCTCAAAGGGCGATCGCGCAGGTCGTTCTCAAAGGATGGACCATTCCGTGGATGAACCTGGATGTAACCGAACTATCGTTTGATGGTGCGGTACAGGAACATCTCAAGACTCTTCCGGACCCAATCGACTCGCAAACGCCGCCTGTGTCTCTTGCTCTGTTGCGGTATAGGGGATCCTTATTCCTTTCCTTCATTTGCCATCACGCTCTGTACGATGCTATTGCTATGGAGCGACTTCTAAAGGAGGTGGAAGCACTGGCGAGACGGGTTAAGCTCCCCCCAGCCGCATCATACAAGCAATTCTTGCGAACGGCCATGGAGCTGCCGGTAGATGTTGACCAATTTTGGTTGGAGCATTTCCATGGATACCGCCCGTCAAGTCTCTTCGCTCCCATGACCAAGGAGATGGATCAATGCACTCATACGACCTCTCTGGATCTCCCGCTCACAGAGCTTCTAACACGAACTCGACATCTCGGCACGTCTCTTCTGGCTGTTTGCCAAGCTAGTTGGGCGAATGTACTCTCCATGGCCCACAATAGGCATGATGTGTGCTTCGGAAACGTCGTTGGTGGGCGCACCCTGAACATGGAAGGGCTTGACAGGCTTGTTGCCCCTTGCTTCAATACCATCCCCGTTAGAGTCGACTTTTCTCCAAGTTGGAGCAACATTGAGATGGCAAAGCACCTGCAGAAACTGAACACCGAGCTTCTGGCATATCAGTTCACTCCCTTGCGTCTCATTCAGCGGAAGGTGAACCGGACAGGTAGACATCTTTTCGACACCCTTCTACTTGTTCAAACGCCGCTGCAGGACATTGACAACAGAGTTTGGACTCTCGAAGGGGATTCCGGCGATATGGACATCCCGCTGGTCTGCGAGGTTGTCCCATGCCCGAGCTTGAACTCTTTAGTCATCAACATTCATCGCGACATGAGCATCGTGACAAGTGACGTTGCTGCTGCTCTGGCAGAGGCCTTCAAACTCCTGCTGAAGGCAACCCTTACCTCGCCGCATGCAACGATTTTGGACAGAGAGCATCTGCCGCCCACAGTTAGTCTCGGCCTGAGCGCACTCAAGCCTCGACAGCAAAGGTTGGAAGCAACTGCTCTCTCCCAAATGACCGAGGAGAAATGGAGTGCAGTCGAAACCCAAGTCCGTAGGGTTCTCGCGCAACTTTCGGGGATGCCCTTGTCCCAAATCCACCGCTGGACAACTATTTTTCAACTTGGCCTGGACAGCATCAATGCAGTTCAAATCGCTTCCATCTTGCGTCAAGAGGGCTTCATCGTCTCGGCATCCGATGTCATCGAGTGCCCTACTAGTTCCAAGATAGCCGCTAAGCTGCTAGAGAATTCCGCGAAGAAAGATCTAGAGTCGCATCGGGTCTATGATTTTAGTCAATTTTCAAGCCAGGTGTTCTCGCATGTCATGACAAGCCTGCCAACCCATGCCAAGGTCGAGTCGATCCTGCCCTGCACGCCTGTTCAGTCTGCCATGATTGCATCATTCCTTCAATCCAATGGAGATCACTACTTGAATGCCGTTCGGTACCAAGTTTATTGGAGCGTCAATGCTGAAAACCTGAAAGAGTGTTGGAGGTCTCTCCAAGCCAACCATCCTATGCTCCGAACAGGCTTTGTTCCCGTCAACCATGGCGATGCGTCTTTTGCAATGGTTAGATACCATTCGGGATCTATAGTACTTCCACTCGAGATTCTGCAGACTTCCCAAAAAGATGATATCGATCTTTTGCAGCAAAAGAAGGACATGGCTCACAGCCTTCAAGGCTCTCTATGTCTCCCACCTTGGAAAGTGGTGTTGGTTGAGACGGATGGCCAGCTTACCATGAACCTCATCATTCACCACGCTCTCTATGATGCTCCATCGCTCCATCAGATGCTTGATGAGCTGTCAAGACTGTTGAAAAATCAGGAGCCGCGCGGTTTCCCAGCGGTCGAGCCAGCATTGTCCAGTATCTTGTGCAAGTCGCTGGAGGGAAAAACTCAGGAGAAGGAGTTCTGGGAAGCAAAGGCGAGTCAAGCAGTCGTGAACAAGTTCCCTGTGATGACCCCTCTACGCATCGAGAGCAGGGTCGTCAAATCAGACACGATCATATCATCATTGTCATTCTCCAACCTGCAACAAGCAACACAGACCTCAAACATCTCCATCCAGGCTGCCATACAAGCTGCTTGGACGCGAGTCCTGGCGTCGTATTTGGGCGAAAGCTCCGTCATTTTTGGAGTTGCATTGTCTGGAAGAACAAACGATGAGACGAAAGACGCACCATTCCCCTGTTTGAATACAGTCCCAATCGTGGCATCCAACAACGTGTCAAATGCGGATCTGATACAATACATGATGGAGTACAACCGATACCTTCATAAACACCAGTCTTCGCCTCTTGGCCAGGTTCAAAAGTGGCTGGGCCACCCCTCAGGAACTGTTTTCGACACTCTCATCGCCTACCAGAAGATGGACACTGCAGAATCGGCCACAGTCCCGTGGAAGGCAGTCGCAGACGAGGCAATGGTCGAGTACCCTGTGTCCCTGGAGATTGAACCAGTTGATAATGACCAACTTCGCCTATGTATCACTTACTACACCGACCTTCTTCCTCAAGAACAGGCGAAGATCTTGGTTGAGCAATTTGATCTGTCTTTAGCACACATTGCTCGTAACCCCACTGGCCATGAGGACGATACCTGCAGCAAGGCGCCACACCTCTACTCTATACTGCCAGCGGTCTCTCCGACTCTCACTGCCCCAGTCCAGCTCCTTCACCAGTTTGTTGAAACAGGAGCACTTTCCCACCCAGACAAGACCGCTCTCGAATTCGTGTCAGGATTTGATGGTGAGACTCCTATTAAGCAAAACTGGACCTACAAGGAGTTTGATTGCTTGGGAAACAAAGTGGCCAACATCCTGAGAGTCCAGGCTGTTCCTGGAAGCATTGTCGCAATTCACTTTGACAAATGTCCCGAGGCGTACTTCTCAATCCTTGGCATTCTCAAAGCAGGCTGCTCCTTTGTGGCCTTGGACCCGACAGCTCCGATGGCACGGAAACAATTCATCCTCCAGGATTCCAAGGCCCCCTGCCTATTGACTACCGACCCAGCCTTTTTGGGGTTTGAAGTCGATTGCAAGGTTATTACTATCGATACGGCCTCTCTCGAGGGCATTGAAATACCCCAGCATGTATACACGCCATCCATTGCACCCTCAGACACCTGCTATTGCCTGTACACATCAGGTACAACAGGCACGCCAAAGGGATGCGAGATCACGCACGACAATGCCGTGGAAGCAATGATGGCATTTCAAGAGCTCTTCAAGGGACACTGGGATGCCACTTCACGATGGCTACAGTTTGCTGCACTGCACTTTGATGTTTCAGTTCTTGAGCAGTACTGGAGCTGGTCAGTTGGCATCGCTGTTGTTGCCGCCCCCAAGGACCTCATCTTGGATGATTTGACAGCCTCCATCAACAGGCTCGACATCACACATATTGACCTGACACCAAGTTTGGCACGTCTCACTCACCCTGATGAAGTTCCGAGTCTCTGTCGTGGCGTGTTCATTACTGGTGGCGAGCAATTGAAGCAGGAAATCCTTGACGTATGGGGGCCCAAAGCTGTCATCTATAACGCTTACGGGCCGACTGAAGCAACCATTGGCGTGACCATGTATCAACGTGTTCCAGTCAATGGCCGTCCCAGCAACATTGGACAGCAGTTCCCGAATGTCGGTTCCTATATCTTCCGGCAAGGCACCGAGATCCCAGTCATTCGCGGCGGAGTCGGTGAGCTTTGCGTTTCTGGCAAGCTTGTCGGCAAAGGCTACTTGAATCGACCTGAACTTACGGAGGAGCGCTTTCCCATACTGAAAGAATTCGGTGAGAAGATTTACCGAACGGGAGATCTCGTCCGAGTACTTCATGATGGTTGCTTTGATTTTCTTGGTCGAGCTGATGACCAGGTCAAACTGCGGGGACAGCGTCTTGAGATTGCCGAGATCAACCACGCTATCCGTACTGGTGTTGGCGAGATTCAAGATACCGCTACCATTGTGACTCGACATGGAACAAGCGGCAAGGATGTCCTTGTTTCTTTTGTGGTTGGTCAGAAAGCAAAGGCCGGAAAGCTTCAAGTTCTTCCAGATGATGAAGGGCTGGGTGTGAAGGCCAAGGAGGCTTGCCGAACACGGCTTCCCGGTTATATGGTACCGACGTACATCTTCTCTCTCCCTTACGTCCCGCTCTCCTCAAACAACAAAGCCGAAGTGAAGGAGCTTAAGAAGATATTCGGCGAGCTCTCCCCCGAGCTGCTCATGGAGTTGTCCCATGCTTCGACAACACCCGTGTCTGCCGGTGCCGTCGAAACCATGAGCAAATTGATTGAGATTCTCGCCGAATTTAGCGACATGAAGCCAGAGGATCTAAGTTCATCAACTAGCATCTTCGATGTTGGTGTGGACTCGATCACTGCACTAAGACTCTCTGCTCTTCTAAAGGCTCGAGGCATCAAAGGCGCTTCACCAGCCGCTTTGCTCAGGTACCCAATTGTTGGCGACCTTGCGAATTCTTTAGCGAAGACTTCTACGGCCCAACATGACAAATTCATTCGCGAAGCAAAGCAATCTATCCGGGCATGCGGACACAGACATCGTGCTGTTGTTTGTCGCGGACTCGGTGTGAAAGCCGCAGACATTGAGTACATCGCTCCCTGCTCACCTCTTCAACAAGGCATCATTTCTCGAACCATGACTAGCGAGCAGCAAGATGCTTATTTCAATGTCTTTGAACTAGAGCTTGCAGCTACGGCATCTATAGAGCTCCTACACACCTCATGGAACGAACTCGTGCAGTCCGAAGCCATCCTCAGGACTGCTTTCGTTCCGACAACAAATGGTTTCGTCCAGGTCGCTTTAAGAGATGTCTCACCGCCTTGGGAAAAACACACCCTGGAGAACCATGAACTTCTTGGAAACTTTTTGGAGGAAAAGAAAACAGATTGGATCCAACAAAACGTCTCACTCATCGCGACCCCTCTACGACTCATCTATCTTACGACCCCTCACTCCAGAAGACTTATCATCCACATCTTCCACGCGCTCTATGATGGAAACAGCTTCGACCTCATGATGCAGAGGCTGTTGGCAAAATACAGCGGCAGTGAGGCACCTTCTGGTCCCCCTTTTCTAGAGGCGCTCAGCCATGGTCCGTTGCTGAGATATGATTACTGCAAGCGATTCTGGGATGAACATCTCCTAGGTTGGTCCTTCGTGCCTGTGCCACAACTCGGACAGCAGCGAGAGAACGACGCTGCCACAGCCATGCGTGAAATCTCCGTCAAAACGTTAGAGCGGGTGCGTTCATCGCAAAACGTAACCCTCCAAGCAGTTTGCCTGGCATTGTGGACTGCTGTGCTTAAGAACTACTTAACAGGCAGTGCAACGATTGGCGTGATCGTATCAGGCAGAGCAATTGAGCTGGAGAATGTTGAGCACACAGTTGGACCGCTTTTCAACACAGTCCCATTTTACTCCAAGACCATTCAGAAGCAAACCTGGTCGTCACTCATCCGGCAATGCCATGAGTTCAACACGGCGGTTCTTGACTTTCAGCATGTTCCTCTGAAGAGTATTCAGAAGTGGTGTTCAGGTGGAAAGGCACTATTCGACAATCTCTTTGCCTTCCAGATTGAGACGCCTCGTGATGAGGGCTCGTTGCCATGGGAGAATCTTGAAAGTCACGGAAACCCTGATTATCCACTCGCTCTTGAAGTTGTCTATTCACGTAATGGCAGTCTACGGTTTACTCTTGTTGGACAAGGCCACATTGTCACGCCCGCGAAATTAGAGGAGTTGCTTGATCAGCTCGAGGAAAACGTCACACTCATGGGAGCAGCGCCAGACAGCGAGGTTCCAATCGGGCTTGGGCAAGCAACCACGGTCAATCACGGTGCCCTGGAAAACGCCCCTATCCAGGCCCAAAAGGCCGAGAACTTCGAGTGGACAGATAAAGCCCTCACGATTCAGCAAGAAATCGCTCTGCTTGCGGATGTTTCGTCCCAAGATGTATCTGCGACGGTGACGCTTCTAGAGCTTGGACTTGACAGTATTGATGTCATCAAGCTCTCAGCCAAGCTCAAGAGACGACAAGTCACCATCGCGCCGTCACAAATCATGCGCTGTCAGACCATTGCCAAGATCATTGAAGAGTTGGACAGGTCGGTCTCGGCTGACTCTCAAGATTCCAATGGCAAGGAGTCACTTCAGAACACGCAACGCAAGCTGTGGAAGTATCTGAAAAACTCTGGTGTAGAGATGGAAAAGGTTGAATCGGTGCTTCCACCCACGCCCCTGCAAGAGTCAATGGTTGCCGGGATGATCCAGTCCAATTTCGAGTCATACTACAACCATGATATTCTCGAGATTTCTGACTCCGTGAATACGAAGACGCTCCAAGTCGCATGGCAAGAGGTCGTCAATCGTTCGCCTGTTTTGAGAACGAGCTTCTTTGAGGTTGACAGCCACGACCTGAACATGTCATACTGCCAAGTCGTGTCAAAGTCAGTAGACCTTGACGTTCAACAGGTTCGCCTAGATCAATTCGAAGATGTACACCATATCACTGCCAAGGCAACGGAGCACGCACGAAACGAGAAAGCGCAAGCTCACTTGTTCCAATTGACATTTGCCACCCTGGGGCCTCGAAAATTCATGGTTCTCTCAATGGCACACGCCCTTTACGATGGGTGGTCCCTGAGCCTGTTATTTCAGGATCTTCAGGCTGCCTACTTTGGGAAGCAAACATCAAGAACATCTGTCAATTCATTCCTCTCACAGATTACATCTGTCGAGGGCCCAGATGCCAAGGGCTTTTGGAGCCAATATCTGGAGGGAGTGGCGCCGACACTGGTCTCCAAGAAAGAATCACTAGGTGTCGAGCACACGACTCCATTGAACAAGAGAGAGCAATCGTCGGCTTTGCACCTCTCTGAGATCACATCCTTCTGCAAGCAACAGTCAATTAGCCTCCAGGCGCTGTGCCAAGCTTGCTGGGCTATCATGCTGGCCCAGCAACTGCAAACCCTCGACGTCACGTTCGGAGTCGTCGTCTCTGGCCGTGATTTTGATGGGGCCGAAAATCTCGTGTTTCCCACCATGAATACCATCGCACTGCGTTGTCTTCTGTACGGATCTCCATCGGCCTTCCTACGATACTTGGAAGAAAATATGGGAGATATCCGAGAGTTCCAGAATTACCCGCTTCGAAAAGCGCAGCTCGCTGCCAACATCAATGGGCAGGGGTTGTTCAACACCCTATTCATTCTACAGAGGTCACCTGGAGATGAATCAACAGACTCGATGTTCAAGTCAGTTGGGGGGTCATCGGCCACCGAGTACCCAGTGTGCGTTGAGGCCGAGGCGGTGGCTGACAGTCTGGTCTGGAGAGTTGCTTGCCAACCCGAGTATTGTTTGACGGAAAGTCCTGAGACACTAATCAGGAACCTCGACGCAATCATGCAATTCTTGATGACTTCGGACGCCTCAGATATTCTCTCATTTGAACAACAGGGTGTCTCTATCTGCGGCATGCCCCCGATCATGCTCAAGGACGACATCTTGCCCGAGGGTACCCCAACTATGGATGAGCAAATAACACAGAGCCAAGAATGGGATGAAGCCGCTTCAGAAATTCGAGAAACCCTCCACCAGGTCTCGGATGTTCCTTTGGCATCAATCAGAACGTCCGATAATCTCTACAACTTGGGACTCGACTCCATTAGCGCAATCAAGGTTGCGTCGCTTTTGCGGAAGAAGGGTATCAATCTTAGACCCCAGGACCTCATCAAGGCGGCCAGCATTTCCCACATGGCCCAGATTGCAGGTACTTCTTTGGGAGACAAAGCAAAGATCAGTTCAAGTTTGAATGCTTGGGAGCCGCCGAAGGATGTCGAGACCGACCAGCTTCTCCAGAAGTTTGGCGTCTCCAAGAGTCAGGTTGAACTCCTGCCAGCACTTCCGATGCAAGTGTACATGCTGAGCGCATGGGAGAATGCAGAGGGGTGTGTCTTCTACCCCGAATTCCCGTGCCTCTTCGAGGGACCAATCGAACTGGAGGCTATCCAGGCTGCTTGGGACAAGCTCGTCTCCGAGAATCCACTCTTGCGGACGTGTTTCATCGCCACTAACTCCAGAGAGGTTCCCTTCTTGCAGGTGATTCTCAAAAACCATTGCGTTCCGATTGCATTGGCATCGCAAAGCACTGAATCCACTGGCCTGCATGAGCCGTTGATCAGGGCTCAGGTTGCACAGAATAATGACAAGTCGTGGACGTTCCGTTTGAGACTTCACCATGCCTTGTATGATGGAGTTAGTCTTCCGGCTCTGCTGCAGCGGCTTTCGGAATTGTTGAGTGGCTCCGCCGTGAATATTGACTCTGGAATGTTGCAATGGAGACAGTTCGCGGTCGACCAGGTGTCCCGCAAAGCCCGCGAAGCAAGACGAGCGTTCTGGACCAAGTACTTGCAAGGTGCTCCTCCAATGCCTGCGACCAATGCATCCTCAATCGATGTCCAAGAGCGAGTTTCATACCTTGAGAAGTCTGCTCTCTCGGACTTGACAAACATTAGGACAGTTGCTGCTCAATCTGGAATCTCTATTCAATCTGTTTTCCTGGCGGCGTATGCCAAGGTTCTCGCTAGAAAACAGAATACTGCCTTGGTTGTATTTGGCATCTACCTCGCCAACCGAGCTGCGGAGCATGGGCTCCCATCAACTTATCCAACGTTGAATTTGGTCCCATTGAGAGTAGAATCACCCAACGGTCGGTCGCTAGTTGATGTGGCCTCGGCCATTCAACAAGATGTCCACCTGATCGCTTCCGAAGGCCGAGCAGACGTCGGCCTGTGGGAAATTAGCAGCTGGACCGGTGTCAAGATCGCGTCTTTTGTGAACTTTCTCAGCCTCCCAAATACGCCAGAGGCGAGCGGTGAGCGGGTCAAACTGATGGCTGAAGGAGGAGGAGATTTTGGCGATGGGCCAGCTCTCCTCACATCCTACAGACAGGTTCAGAACAACTTGGTCAAGAATGACTTTTCGGTAAGCTATTGACTAGTACGTCAATTCACTGATAGGATGGCTAACCTGCATTGTGCTATAGATGGCAGTAGATATTGAAGCCTCGGTCCAAGACTCTGGGCTAGACATTGGCGTATTTGGGTCGCGCCAGCAAGTATCCGGTGACGAAGCTGCGGGTTTGATCTTGGAGATTGTGTCTTTTCTTAACAAGATTGGTATATAGACGAGAGGTATAAAGGTCATGGCGTTGGAGATCATTGAAAATGGGATTCATGAATTATGCAGTCAAAAACCAATGTCAATTCAACTCAATGCAATGCAATGATTTAGTCCACACGGGACCAAAACTATCCAAGTCCAAACACTCAAACGCCAAATCGATGCAGATTTGCCCCAGCCTTGTATATCTACATATGTCCCTTTGAATTATCCAATGGATGTGTCCTTACTGAAACTGGCCAGTGAATGGGCCAAGTCACGCTCAATTGCCGCTTACACAGAGTATCCGAGCATGGACCGATCTGGAAAGAGGATAATGTTGGCTAAGCGCACAACCTCTGCTTCTGCGTGCGAGCTCGACGATGAACTCGTCAAGCTCTTCGTCTCGGCTTCGGCCTCCATCTCAACATCATCTTCCTTGGATTTCACCCTGTCGCTTGGTGGTGTGCCGGCGCGAGTCCCAGCCACCTCCCAGGGGGCCAGGCCCATAGCTTGCAAAGCAGCAGGGCCGCCAATCTCAGCAATCTCTTTCTCACCAGGGCGTGTTTCTGCATCTTCCATCACGTTTCCTCGACCGGTAGAGTCAAAGTCTGGCCCTGGATGACCCCGCTGGAATGCCTTCCTCTGGCGAGCAAGATAGAGGGCATTTGTTTGGGTCAAGGGTGCTGCCGGGACATACACTAGCATGCTAACATTGTCGCTATCGCCGCTGGGTGTCTTGAGCCCATAGTTGTTGCTGGACAGATAGTACGGGAGGTCGGGATGCCAGAAAATGTAGTCGCCGGCCTGCAGGGTCGGTAGAGTGATCATGCTTCCTCTCAAGTGGAGATGGGGATGCCAGTGCTCCGTGATTCTCTGAGCATGGCCGGGAACAGCTCCATGGATGATCGTATCGGGTTCCTTCTCGAGCTTCCAGTTATCCGGGTGAAGGTAGGCATCCCACTCGGGTCCGCTGCGAGACTCTGGGGGTGGGTTACGGGTGCTAAAGAATGGCCGGAGCAGATAGTAGGCCGTCGCGAGTTTTGGGGACGGCAACAACCGGACCATACCAGGCTCAACGGTAGAGAGCGCCAGTACTCCCTGGAACATTCGAAAGATAGTGCAGGCGCCGTAGCCATTATACAAGTCCATGGTCGCAGAGACGCGGCTGGCGCATTCCCATGGGTCGTGGTCTTCCCAGCGGCCATGGAAAACGTGGTTGTAAGTCCCTGCATGCTGGTAGCCATCGGGTTCCCAGCGCTCAAGGGAACCATTGTCCACCTGAGCGATGATACCAGCGGAAGACTCGAGGGCATTGATCCAGTCATCGGCGGACTGTGGGGGTTCGAGGGGCGGAACGTTGAGGTCGTGGGGCCGACTTTCGCCGGCTCCGTGTACCCGCAGTCGGTCCACATAGGTTATGGGCAGCCGGGTGACAAGTCGGTCGTCGGGGGTAGTTTCCCAAAGGTTCATCATGAAGCGCTGCGCACTTAGAACGCCGGGATGGGCGCGGGCGCGGACCTGTGCAGGTGTCCAAAAAAAGTCGAAACAGGCAGGGTCGTGCTGCTGGGTTTTGATGTGGCTCTTGCTATTGAGGTACTCGACCGTCTCCTGCACTGCGACGTCGGCATCGGGTTTGGGAACGACCTTTCGAATCACTCCAACGCCGTAGCGCCGGAGATCGCGGCCGAACCGGGTTGATTGCGTCGGGTTGTCGATATCAGCGAATTCGATGGACGGGATGAGATGAGCACCGAGGTCCTCGATGTGGTCAACCTCGGCGACGAGGGCGGTAAGAAGGCGGGTCCAACTCGCCTCAAGCTCGGCTTCGTGGCCCCGGATGAGATTTCGCTTGATTCTGGCAAAACGCGACGGTAGGGGAACGGGCTCAGGGCCCCAAAAGGAGAGGACGGGGGCGTCCTTGTCGACTGCCGCAGCGGTTGCCGCGGCCGTCATGTTTGAGGGTACTGAGGAGGGCTTTGAGGAGCCTGCGGCAGGAGTTGTTTTTAGTGACGATGCTGATGACGATGCCGATGATGATGGAGGTCCAGTAGTGGCCGTAATCGCAGGTGCGACGGCGGAGGGCGTTGTCGTGGCCGTCGCCGTCGCCGCTTGTGGGGTCGATGGCCTCGGAGTCATCGTCCTGGGTAAGTTGGTTGAAGCCGTGGACGATGCCGGCGCTGCTGAGCCCGCTCGCTTCGCTGGCGGTGTTGCTGCGGAGGCAGCTTTTGTGGCCTTGGACGTCGCGATTGCCGCTGCGACAGCTGCCGCCAGGTTTGTCATTGAAGCTGATGCACTTGGGCGATGCCGAGTTTTGGTGATCCTGCCCCCCTGCGTGTACGCTATGGCAGTCGCCGGCGCAGTGGTGGGCGTGACCTTGGGAGCGGGCAAATGTGACCGTGTGTGATGGTACGAGGGGCTGCTATTATCCGGACGGCATGGGCGGGAGGGGGAAGCAGCACTCCTGCCCTGTAAATCTGGCGCTTTTGGAAGGAGCCCCCCTCCACCCCCCGCCTCGGTTGATTCTGATTCTGATGCTGTCGTTGGGGCTGCTGTTAGTGGACCTGAGATGATGCCTTCCATTTCCTCCGTCTCTCCTCCATCTTCGCCTTTTTCGACATCTTCACCATCGGCTCGTCGCTTTCCATTCCCAGCAGCTCTCCCTACCACTCTTTCTCCTCTGCTTCCCAAAACATCTCCCAACGCATGGTGGTGGCCCGCGACCGCCGCTGCTGCTACGCCAATGGCGGATGCCAGCCCACGAGCGCGGTCGAGCATGGCAGGTGGCGTGGCCTCCTCGTCGGGCTGTGGGGGCAGGTCAACCGAAGATGCAGCCATGACTCCGCTAGGTCCGCTGTTTGCGCTGTGAATGAATGAGCAGTTCACCCCAATATCCCAACATTCAAAGGATTAACAAAGGTTGGCTAGCGATTGACGAGAGGAATCGAGGCTTGGAATGGTGGTTCGGCGGAGACGGGGAAAGGAAAAGATATCTCAGCGTCGCGTGTATAGGTAGGTCGACTAACAAACACCGATTCAGTCCCGAGGTTGAAGATGGAGAAACCAGCTAATGATATTGGTCAGGTCTCACTCGACTTAGTCCCTGCTATGATCCCGATAAACAAGACGTTCCAGCTGGATGGGTGAAGCACCAGATTGACAGGCGGCTGGACGGACCGGACTTATAAGGCGCGCCCCCTTTACCCTCACTCACGCGTTGCCGTCAACTTTGAACACACGACGCCCCCCGGCAGTCGTCAGTCGGCTGTGTTGGGGGAAGAATGCGACAGGGCAAGTGGATCTTGCAGCAGTTTTCGGGCCTGACATCCGTTAACCAAACGCCTTCGGTCCCATACCTTCCGCCCCGAAATTCCCGGTCAGCCCCCACAAGCAAGCAGCCCGTCACAAGCCTTCCCTCCCCTCCACATCCCCATGCTGATGGATGCCCGGCTTTGCGGGCCACCCTGTCGCTAGTCAGAGGCCGGGAGTCAGTGTTCTTGGCTCATTATTCACCACCATGTCCAGTGTGTCGGAGCATTCGCGGCAAACAAGATCATCATTGTCGGCCGATCCGCAAAGATTCAGCTGAGCAGTTCGCCACCAACACCCACGCGGACAGAAGACACCTCTCGGCCATCTTTCATCTTATCTCCCGAGGTTGGATGCTGCTGCTCCGGCCCTGGCTTGCGATCACCCGCAACGGTACCGACGCATCGAGTAGGGGTATCATCGTCCTGATGAGAAATATGCATGGATCGCGAATGCACGCCATCTCATGGCCTCCATGCCATTATTTCTCACACAACCCATCCACGATTCTTCTATACTTTGTTCACCTCGACGGACCTCAATCTGTTTCTTTTCGAAACATATGTCTCTCCATTTTCAACTATGATCAATATTTCTGCTGCTGCTAATCACTGAGTTCTTTATTCCCATTGCACCAGGCTTTCTTGCTCATGAGCACAGACCCATCTGTCACTGGTTGTCGGCCCGTGACTCCCGTCCACGACACGCGCGGTTGTCCATGATGGAGACAGATCCGACGGCCAAACTTGCCGCCTCGTCAATGGCCAGAGACCCCTGGCTCGGCCTATCTACTCCCAGGCATATGCAGCACCACAAGGATGACCCTCTCGATTGAGAATTTGAACTCAAGGCAGAGCATTCACTTTCGGCTCGTGGCGAATTTATCCTAAATAGCCCCATTCTGCATTCTCACGAGGTAACCCCCACAGTTTAGCCGGACTTCTTAGTCTCATAACGTTATCTGCATTCTCATCATAATACGCTGGTCCGCATACGGATAAGCACCGCAGCGGCAATATTCTATGATACATCAACCAGCACTTCGTGCTCAAGCTGGCCTGATAAGGCGGCAAACTACCCATCTTCTCCGATCGCTTACAGGCGGGACCGGTTCTCGAGCTTCCATCCCTCATCCATGGCAATGAGCTCCGCAGCACGCTCTCCAACAGCCAGGACCGTCACCATGGGGTTGATGGTAGGCATCTCGGGGAAGATGCCGGCGTCGACAATGCGCAGCTTGCCAATGCCGCGAACCTTGAGCTTAGGGTCCACCACAGCCATCTCATCGCGGGCCAAGTCACCCATCTTGGTGGTGCCGGCGGGGTGGTAGACGGTGTGCGCAACGCGTCGGGCGTACTCGCTAATCTCCTCATCGGTCTGCACCTTAGGTCCAGGGGCGACCTCGCGCTTGAGCCAACCCTTGAAGGGGTCTTGCTGAGCGATCTTGCGGGCAGCCTTAATACCGTACACAAGAGTAGCGGCATCGTATCCCTCGGGGTCTGTGAAGTATCGGAAGTCGAGAGCGGGCTTGACGTTGGGGTCGGAGGATGTAAGGTAGATGCGGCCTCGGGAGCGGGGACGGGGGATGTTCGGGGTCATGCAGAAGGCGTAGCGGTCGGGAACGACATCATATCCAAGTCGCTCGGTGTTGAGCGTGAAGGGGATCTGATAGCAGTGCATCATGAGATCGGCAGCATCGCCATCGTTACCGGCGGCGTTGGTGGGCTCGCGGCGCAAGAAGATGCCGGCATCCGAGTCCATGGTGGTCTGGTTGGCGGGGACGGGGCGGTTCAGCTCCCACATGATGATGCTCTCGGGGTGGTCGAGGAGGTTCTCGCCAACACCAGGAATGTCCTTGACAACAGGGATGCCGAGGCTCTCGAGCTGGGCGCGAGGGCCAATGCCGGAGTGTAGGAGGAGGCGGGGCGTGTCAACAGCGCCAGCGCAGAGGATGGTCTCCTTGCGAGCGTTGAGGGTGTGCTTCTCGCCTGACTTGAGGGTGAGGACAATTCCGGAGGCGACGTCGTTCTCAACAATGAGCTTGGAGACGTGAGCCTCGGTCAGAACGGTCAAGTTGGGTCGACGCTCCTCGCCGCGCAAGATAGGGTGGATGTAGGCAACGGAGGCGCTGCTGCGACGGCCGTTGTCGGGGTTGTAGGAGATGGAGAAGAAGCCGGTGCCTTGGGTCAGCTGGCCTTTCTCAGCAATCTCGGCGTTGAAGTCGGTGATGACGGGAATGTCCATGGCGGTGGAGCAGGACTTGACCCAGTCCTTGCAGAGCTGGTTGCGGTGGCGCGCGTGGACGGGCTGGATCTGGTTGCGCAAGTTGTCAACGTGGCGCATGACGGTGTCAAAGTCCCAACCGGCGCAGCCCTGGGCGACCCATCGCTCCATATCATGTCTGAAGGGACGGAAGGAGATGAGGGTGTTGTGGGAAGAGCAGCCGCCGAGGACCTTTGCGCGAGAGTGGCGGATATGGCTGTTGCCCATGGGCTGCTCGGTGGTGCCGTAGTCATAGTCAAGATCGCCGCCGAGAAGGCTGAGCCATTCGCGGAGGTTCAGGACGTTGTTGAGGTCGAAGTCTGAGGGACCGGCCTCAATAAGCAGGACCTTGCTCTCGGGAAGGTAGGTGGACAGGCGCGAGGCCAGGACACAGCCAGCGGTACCACCTCCGACAATGATGTAGTCGAAGGCGGAGCTGGGAGAAGGAGGGAGAGTCTGGGTGGTAGCCATGGTGATGGATTGGGGAATCAAAGATGAGGAATTGATAGCAATAGCCAAGTATTGGGTAGGATGATCTCAATGCTCCACGGGAGGACCAGTCCTTGCCGTGTTCCTGAAATTGGGATTGGGATTGGATTGAGATTGGGGTGAGGAGGAGTGACGAGGGGAAATAATTCGATTTAAGCCAGGCTGAAGGGAGTGTTTTGAAAGAAACGACTCTGCGCAAGGTGGGGGGGGTCCGGACCGATCGATGCCTGCAATCAAGGCAATGCTCGAAGGTTGAGGGCAGCACAGTACACAGTACGAGGATGACAAGGTACCTTGCAGTTACTAGCTGCGTCTAGTCTAGGAGAGCAGCTGAGGTGGATGGATGACGGACGCACAGCAGTACGGCGCCAACAGATGACGAGGGGTGAGCTGCGAAGCTAGCGACGATGCCGGGTGGAGCAACACCATGGCAGCCCGGCCGAGGAGGATCGAGTTGGAGACGCGACGGTGGCGGAGGCGGGGCGGCCGGAAGGAAGAAGTCTCTCACCGACATTCACCTACGAGAAGAGCCGCCTATGCCAGTCAGCCTCGGTCAACGAGCTCCAGTAGTTAGTACTGGTGTTTACAATTACAACGGGGGGAAAACACCCGCCTCCGTCTCTCCAATATCAGGCGCAGAAAGGCCGAGATGGTCTGGAGTCGGTACATCAATGGGTTGCTTGCTTATCTGCGGAAGCATACCTAGGTAGGTCACTAGCAGAGAGAAGATGGCTGAACAAGCATTTGCGGCACTGTATACAGCACAACCGGCATCTTGGTCAACCTTTTCCAACCGGAACCAATATTCAAGATGCTCGTGCAGCCAACTCCCGCCCCTCATCGGTACCGTAATTACAGGCATACAGCTCCCGAACAGCCATTTCCCGAACGGGATCCTCTTTGTCGTACGGTTTCACGGCAGGGGATCCACGGTTGGCGCCGTCTGCGTGGTTGCTCGGCGGTCGGGCGTGGCCGTCTCAGACCCTCCGTCGCCGTCTTGGCCGTCTTGGCCGCTGCTGCCGCGCACTCGCGCATCCGCACTGTGCCCCGGCCCCTCTTCCTCCTCCAACCACCGTTGGCCGGACATGAGCTAGTGGATAGTGCGCCGTGAATAGTCCTTTCACACACGTTGCGATGCGCACGAGGTCGCAGGGAGGCGCAGGCAAGATAGGATTATTCGAGACATCGCCAGGCACAGTCGGAGGTGACCGTGGATGAGGCCGCGCAGAGCTTCCGAGACGGGATAGCAAGTATTAGATGCGGCATTCGGCAATGATACATCCGCATCGAGACTCTGACGGCATGGACGCCTGCTGGGTTCCAAAAGGTTCAGATAGGCCCAGATACCCGTTTCTGGAAACAATATGATCAGCCTGCTTGTTCGTCGTGGTGACTTGCCATTCCTGGGCTAGTACATGCCATGTCTCTGGCTCACCTTGACAGGGCAGCACGGCAACCAGCCGCCATGGCCAATGACGTAGAGCGGCCCCGCCGGGCGCGTGGCGGGATCGTGGAGTCGAGTGCGCGCACCGGTGTGAACCCGGCGGCCGCGATAGCGTCGACGCCCGTCGAGCGCCCGCCGTTATCCGCAGTTGGGGTCCCCTGTTTCGTTGGCTCCGTACAGGACGGTGTTGTACGAGAGCAAGTACATACGTACGTGTCTGGGCGGGTAAGGGTTATTACCAAGGGGGAAAAAGGACGCCAGCCTCCAGAACTGAATTGAGCAATGGTATTGGCGGGTTGTGCTACATGGAGCCGTGCAGGGTTCTGCTGTTGCTTCTGCTGCTCCTGATGCTGCAGGGACACACAGGGTTATTTCTCCACCTTGGATGTGTGCCTCGCCATGTGTCATCTGCCGAGTATTGTAGTACAGTTGATTCTTGGAACTGTCGTGGTTGGGCGGGTTGGATTTTGGAATTTTATTTTTCCTCCTAAAAGTCTTTACTGCCGCAGAATACGGGTCCATCTACTTACCAGTGTTTCGTATTAGTGTTCCCAGCCCTTTTATTTCCAGTCCAAATTTTTTTTCTATCAATTGAGGCTTCGGTGCTTGTCAATGCGCTGTTGGCCATGTCCCAATTGCTAGCTTAATTCCTTTCAGCAAGTCCGTTTCAGCGGTGGCCGTCTGTATCTCTTCATGCCTTGGTTGCAGCGGCAAGCCAGCCCAGCGAGGCATAGTGCGGCGTGGGTTGCAATATGCACTGTATCCGCTGATGGGTCGCCATCCCCAACATGACGTGAGAGCCCACTAAAAGACCCCGCAATCTAGCGCCTATTCGATGGGAACGAGTCGTAGTCTGCATGCCATTGGCACCGCGCCGTCAGCCTGCCTTGGCGACCTGTAGCTGGCCTTCGTGTGAACGACTCCAGGTGACATTGTGTTTACGTGTGCGGATGTTCCGTTTAGATGATTGACGAAGGGTTTTTTTCCTTTTTCCCTCTCTTGTTTCCTCCCGTATCCAGCCGTCAGCAGTCAGGGTTTTCCACTGCTATCATCCGACATCGTGCGGCTGCTACCCAACCCCCACTCCCGGCCCGGTCCCGATGCGGGTGCTGTGCGGTTGCGTGAAGATATATCTCGACCTTGCCGTTCAAGAAGCAAGGTATGGAGTACCATAAGTATTACCGCACACAGTATCAAAGGTACTTGACAATACTTGATACTTCATATTGGAGAGATTGTGTTCCTTGTCGTTTGCCTTCCACTTGCTCTGCCTTCCCTCCCTCCAACCCTGCTCAATCCGTAGCACTGGACTAACCGATGAGATGGTTGCCCCGAGTCTCTTGCCACGTACAAGTAAACGATAGCACAATGGCTCATTCGCCGAATCAACAACCAAAAATCCACTAACTCAGGATGGTCAGTCATGCCGACTATCGATTCATCCTCGATACCTGTTGCTGTTCTTGTCCCTACCGGTGTTGGTCAGAACTCTCATGGTTCAGCTCTGCTTCCGCCCCACCCCCCACTTCGGCCAGCGTTCGGCATTTGGGGCACTCCCTGATTTTTTGGCCCGTTTTCATTGATCAATTCACGCTCGGGGAGGGAAGGGGGGGGGGGCTCGTTCTGGTCCTTGCTCTGTATCTCCATCGCTCCATCGAATCTTCATCGGCGTCCGCAATGCATCTCACCGTATCTCTACCCCCGATCAGATCGCGTCCCAGCCTGCTTGCTAACTGAACCGCGCCTTATGTAATCGCGCCCCCGTTCTCGCTTGCCACCCAGTTACCCAATTCGTATCTATCCGGTACGTACCTGTCCTGCCTGCGCTGTTATACGCATCTCCCCTCGCCGTCGTCATCGGCCATACCTGAAGCTATTGTCGTCGCCGTCGCAATTCTTTACACCCACCCACCTGCGAGCACCCGCCTCGTTCCCCAACCCTCATCTACCATCCTTCCCCGAGGCCATTCTCTTCCTCTCTCTTCTCCCAATCACCCCATAATACATCCATCATGACTTTCGCGACCGAAATCCACACCTTCCACTCGGGCCGGCCCCAACCGGAATCCTCTTCCTCCACGTCCACCTTCACCTCGGTCGACCCCAGCACCGCGAAGCCCCTCGCTACCATCTACACCACCACTCCTGCCCAGCTCAACGACACCATCGCTGCAGCTCAGGCTGCTTTCCCCGAGTGGTCTCAGACCCCGGCTCCCCGCCGTGCCGAAATCCTGCTGCGCGCCGCCGCCATCCTCCGAGAGCGCAACGACGAGCTCGCCCTCACCGAGACCCTCGACACCGGCAAGGCTTGGTCTGAGACCTCCACCGTCGACGTCGTCACTGGCGCCGACGTCCTCGAATACTATGGCCACCTCGCTGCTGGCAGCCTCCCCGGACACCACACCCGCCTGCGGGCCGATGCCTTCATCCTCACAAGCCACGAGCCTCTCGGCGTCTGTGCCGGCATCGGTGCCTGGAACTATCCCATCCAGATTGCTCTGTGGAAGTCGGCCCCGTGTCTCGCTGCCGGTAACTGCATGGTCTACAAGCCCAGTGAGGTGACGCCTCTCCATGCAAACACCCTCGCCCAAATCTACATCGAGGCTGGTGTGCCCCCTGGTGTCTTCAGTGTTGTCTACGGCGATGGGCCCAGCGTTGGCGCCCCCCTTGTCGCTCATGAAGGCATTGCCAAGGTCAGCTTCACTGGCCAGGTCAGCACCGGCAGCAAGGTTGCCAGCGAGGCTGCCAAGGGCATGAAGGGCATCACCATGGAGCTTGGCGGCAAGAGTCCTCTCGTCATACTGCCCGATGCAGACATCGATGAGGCCGCAGATGTTGCCATGGTTGCCAACTTCTTCTCCACCGGCCAGGTGTGCACAAATGGAACCCGCGTCTTTGTCCCCGATAATCTGCTGAGTAAGGTCGAGGCAGCCTTGGTTGAGAGGTGCCGCGATGGCCTTCGCATGGGCCTGCCCAGAGATGAAAAGACCAACTTTGGCCCCATGGTCAGCGCCGCGCAACAGGAAAAGGTTAAGATGTACATCCAGCTTGGCCGAGATGTCGACCGGGCTAGAGTCCTCTATGATGGTTCCCTAGCCGCTCAGAAGACATTGCCGACGGCGGATGGCTTCTGGGTTCCCCCAGTCATCTTTACCGACTGCACGGACGAGATGCGCATTACTCGTGAGGAGATATTTGGTCCTGTCATGTGCATCCTACCCTACAAGACCGCTGGGATGGATACTGAGGATTGGCTGCCACCGCTTATTGCACGAGCCAACGACACTCCCATGGGCTTGGCTGCTGGCGTTGTCTCGTCCGATGTCGGGTTGGCTCAAGATGTTATCAAGAAGCTCGATGCTGGCATCACTTGGATCAATACCTGGGGTGAGTCTCCTGCTGAGATGCCTGTGGGTGGATGGAAGATGAGCGGCGTCGGGGTTGAGAATGGTATCGAGGGAATTCGGGCCTACATGAGGACCAAGAGCACCCTAGTACAGCTCGGCAAGGGCGCGTGCAAGGGCGTATTTGCCAAGCTGTAGACGATTTGACGATACCCATGTAGAACTGAACGATTAAAACTGCTACGATAGACTTATTTTTGGCGCCATGATATCGTGCTTTGTTATATCATTTTCCCCGTCCAGTTGTTATACTCATCGCGCCCTGGTTAATCTGTAACTATTTTGGCTCGCTCGTGGCGAACTATAGGGTAGCAGCAGCCGAGTCTGGGAAGTCGGTCATTCTACGAGTAACAACATTAAAGTCGACAAGATATGTAGAGAAGGACACTCTTATTATTCACTCTTGGTTGGCAAGGGCCAGTTTTCTCTCGCCATATATATCAATAGGAGGCCAGTCCGAATACTCTTGTAAAACCCCAATTTCAGAAGGTCATCCCTGAAAACGCAAGAGTTCCAACTCCAAAAAACCGGTTTTCACGGGGATGGCGACAACACCAACAGTAGCGATAATGAGAATGAGAAGGCTTCACTGTCAACCGACAGCAACGAAGAAACCATCGATTCCACAGCCGATCGATTCAACCGAGCGGCCGGTCTGTATCTCGAAATATTCGACAGCCTCGCTTCAACACCGCTGGAGGAGAGTTCATCTACCAAAACTCGTTTGAACGACAGTTGTAGGCCATCGACAACCAACTCGTTACAAGCCTAATCAAACACAGGAATAATATGGGAGACACTACTAATACCTCTCCATGACTACGACCCAAGCTTTATTGGATAACTAAATTTCTGTCATTTACCCAAGCGACATAGAGATTTTGTGTGATTAATGAGATGGGCATAGTAATATGGGCTATACCACCCCTTCCAGTGATATTGCCAACAAAGAAATATTATACTTCAAAGACTTTTGACCAAATTGAAGTCGAACAGTGGAAAACGAGGTCAAGACACACGAATGGATAGCCAGACCCAACTTTTGAAGTACAAACATCGTGACTTGATGGCCGTGGTGAGCCTAGCAGGCCAGCTCCTTGCTCCTACTCCATAATATCGCAGTTGACATGGAATTGAACAAGTGTTATGGGCTATACTGTAGGCCGTAAATGCAGCTGGAATTGTGTAAGCGGAGCAATGCACGACCTCTTAACGTTCAGATCGATATTGACGGCAACGCCCGGGTAGCTGAATCTGCAGAAATTCAGTCGCTAATGTGGGAAACTAAGGGGAAGTGGAACAACATAGAAGAGATCTAAAACATATGGAAAATATCATCAAACTCAAAAAGGATATCCCTGTCGACATAAGTTAGAACCTATGGAGGTCAAGGCAGGCGGACTCATCATGGCTTGGATACTCAACCATCTGCTTATTGTTCATTCGTACTAACTTAGGATCTGGTGGCCTTCAGATTATTTTTAGGGTGCCTTAGTTCTCATAGTTTGTCAGCATAGCTTGATTTGTAAACACGAAATTTTATGACTTTATTTATAAGCCTGCTGACACCGTAGCTGCAATGTACGGTTTGCTTGCTTTAATACCGGGAAATCCACCTCTCATAGTCCGTAGATCCACTGAGGTCTAAAACCTGGCTTATCGATTCGATTCCGCGGCCCTAGGAGTCCGGCGAGAGGCCGAAAAGGAGACATAATACAAAATTTTCCTTTCCCTTGGAAAGAATCACCCTCCACGAGCGAATTCGCCAGAAGAATGGTGCACCACTTGTAATCGCACTATATACTCCAGCAACTTGTACGTTTACTTACAGATACCATCCCTATAAGCACGCTTGTCAGAAGTGCCTTGCCGTGAGCACTACTTACCCCGCTCGAGTAGGCATCATCGTCATAATTTCCAGCCTCCCTGTTCGTATCCTTCACCCGGGAGACATTCTTTTTTGAATTCTAATATACTTCATTCACTCCTCCGCATCATCCAAAAATCAGCATATCCCCAAGAGACGACAAGATGAAAGCACTCGTCCTCACCCCATCCACCCGCGAAGCAGCCGTCCGCGAACTTTCTCGCCCAGTTCCGGGTGTCGGGGAGGTGCTCATTCGTGTCCACGCTGTGGCTTTAAATCCGGTTGATTCGCTTTATGTCTCCCATCCGATCGCCATTCAGGAATATCGTGTTATTGGCACCGACTTTGCGGGCTTCGTCGTTGGCGCCAGCCCAGAGCTTGCCGGGTCACCCGATCCGAGGACGAAGTCGGGTGCACGAGTCGCAGGATTTCTTCAAGGAGGTTTGTCTATTCTTTTCTTATTTGCTTCTTCAATTCATTTCCCTCTTCCAGATCGGTTCGTTAGCAACAATACAGAACTAACTGTCATGTCACCTCGGTAGCCTGCTCTGTCAATGATCGCCCAGGTGCGTTCGCGGAGTACATCACAGCGCCATATGACCTGGTATGGCAAGTTCCAGAAAATCTTTCCCTCGAAGCTGCATCTGCGGTCAGCATGTGTGGTCTCACTGCTGCCCAAGGCGTCTTTGTCCGTCTCGGGCTTCCAAGCCCCTTCGCGTCGAGTTCTGGTGCGCTCCCCGTTGAGAATCAGGACACACATAGCCCCATCAATGTCTTCATTTACGGTTCTTCAACTTCACTGGGCCTCTACGCAGCCCAACTCGTGCGCCTTTCTTTCCTTGCATCAGGTCGCAAGATCCGTCTTGTTGGGGCGGCGAGTGCTGCAAAACACGACTTTCTTCGCAAGGCACCGTACTCGTATGACGCACTTGTGGACTACCGGGACTCAGACTGGCCGGACAAAGTACGGGAAGCAACTGCTGGTGGAGGTGTGGACTACGCCATTGACTGTATCTCGGAGGGTGCAACAGTCGAAAAAGTCCACAGCACTTTTGGCCCGCAGGGTCGATTCGCCGTGTTTCGAAGCCCGGGTGGCGGGGGTTTCGACACCTCTCGCTTGAGGGTGAAGCCTATTTATGGTGCTGTATGGGAAGGACTTGGAGTTGAGATTGGTTACAATGGTTCGTCCTGTTCTCCTCGTCCTTGTTATCCAGGTTTGCTGATTTACCTTCCCAGGCCAGACTATTCCTGCCACTCCGGCTGCAAGGGATTTTGCAACAAAGTTCTTTGCCTTCCTAAGCTCCGGTGCCGAAGAGGGCAAGGTCAACCTGGAGCCAAATCCCCTGCGCATCATGCCGGGTGGGCTGAAGCGAGTGGTGCCTGACGGGTTTACATTGCTGGGGGGTGATGGAGTGACGTCGAGAGCGACAACGAGAAGCGAGTTGGAGCATATGCGGCCAATTAGCGCGGAGAAGATGGTATATGTAATCGAGTAGAGAATTAAGCAGAGGTTTGCTGGGTTGCTAAGGAAACTGGTTAGCAAATCTTCGTCAGACTTTTGTACTAGTCTTGTTCCCAAGTACTGCACAGTTCCTTCTGGATAGAAGGCTTAGCAATAAACCGAAGGAAAGTGTGCAATTCCCCTAAACTTCAAGCTTCCCGGCCCCTGTGTCAACTCAGAGCAAAGTGGTTGGTCGCTCGAAACATAGCTCGATTCTAGGCGTCACATTTGCTCGCCGAGTTCCTCTGACTCCCTAGGTCTGAGTCAAGTCGTTTCATAGTGGATTCCTCTAGCGGTCTGCAGGAATAAAATCTTGTCGCCAAAATCCTACGGTGAAGGTTGCCCGTGTCTACATTTGCACCTAAACCTGGCCATGCTGTGAACAGGTCATGCAAACCGTGTCTTGGCATATTGAGCAGAGGTTGGGTAGAAGTTCACGATGAACTGGAGCCCAACCTCAATGTCATGGCCTCGGCCCAGAGGGTCAACGCGACCGATGAAAAGGGTATCCATGATGACAAAAGATAATCCGAGACCGAAGTTGACTCTACTACAGGCGACCTCTTCGGCCGGAGAAAATGGAAGCCAACGTGGCAAGGCCACGACATATTACATCCGACCTTCTGTACACATCATAACTAACCCCAAGACGTTGAAGCCTAGAATCTGACCTAAATTTAATAGGAAAGCGCCTGGCGATTTTACTGACTCGTCACAGCCGCAAATGTCCAGCTCTCTGTTGCAATTTGCTGTCATCGATTTTGGTCTTCATGGTCTCATGCCCACCACTTGCTCTTTCTCCAACCTCGCATCCGGTAAGCAAACCACATCTTGGTTGTGTCATCAAATTCATTGCCAGAGTCAAGGCTTTTTTGGCATGCTGTCTAGATTGTAATTATAATATTCTACCCTGGCCCACGAAAGCGTAAGACTCAATAACTGCAATGTGTCTCTGCCTGTGATGGCTTTCTGCACAAACACCCAAACCGACGCTGCGGCTTATGTATCTTGACCAGCATAAATGAAATTAGGTATGCCTTTAATACTTTTATGATCCATGCCACTGCCTCAAGAATTGATCCTCTTTGGCTTTACATGAACGTCATCGGTGTGTGGCGTGATTCCAGTAACCCAGCTTCCTCAAATTGGTTTGATCGTTAGGTTAACAGGCAGGAGGGCTATAAGGACTGGGTATGCTGCCTTGACTCTCATTCGTAACTTAAAGGGCTGATCAGGTAAAAGCTTAATGATACACAAATGCCTGTTCATGCAATCTGTATATACCACTTTGGTTACATCAGCTCTGACAATCACGAGATTTTATTTTTAATATAAACACTTCTCAATTATTCCTATATCTAGCTAGTGAGAGCCTCTCCTATCAGAGCTAGATTCTGAATTGCTGCTAAACCATATTGTGCAACATCATTTGTTGAAATCCAAGATGCTTCCTCCACTGGCATCAATACACTACTTCCATTAAGGTATGTAGTGTTCCAGGGAGCAGCTGCAGAAAACCCATCTGTGTTGAAAAACTCGTTCCAGGCTCGCTTCTTGATTGTCGAGTTGCTCAGCTGATTAGCCGCGTATGCTGTAAGTCGAGAATGTCCTTGGAACAGGTTTAAGCTGCCAAAGTTAGAACCATACCGGGCAGCCTGCTCTTGTTTTGTTGCCCCAAAGTAGTAGCAATAGTCGAGCCATGCCTGCTTGAAACCCTTCGGCAGAGTGTTGCCGTAGTACTCTATCGCTTCTGACACAACCTCCAGTAACCCAAATACGGCCGAGAGATGAGAAACGGACACATAGCCGAGGTTCTGAGGGTCAGCGGGAGGGGGCCCAAGGGTTCCCAGCTCAAGATCATAGAGTCCAGCGCCCGTCACGAAGCCGTTTGTGAGATTTGCGATGCCCGTGATGGTGCTTGTGAGCTTTGCCTTCGATTCTTCCCAGCGCGATCCTCGCCGCTCCCATTCGATGAGCCATCCACCCGCAAGAGCAGACCAATCCGTTCCCAGACCAATTGCAACTGTTGAATTTGGAGTTGGGGTCCACCCGTCTGTCCGAACCTTCCTATTCGGATCCAGAATTCCGTACGTTTTGTCTGTATCGAGCAGCTCTTCTAGTAGTTCACCAACTCGCTCGTCGCCGCCTGAGAGGTAGTAAAAGTACTTCCGATACTGGGGTTGAGAGATTCGAGCTTGCTTGGCACTGTCGCTCCAATGTTGGACACCATGGCGTGTGCCTAGGCCTTTCCAGTTGCCGAGATGGTATACGTCAACCTCTCCGGTATGCCGTGTCAGCGCCTCAGCAAACCTATAAATATCCTCCCGACCAGTACGGAGGAAGTAGAGCCAGAAGAAAAGATCAGGGGAAAGCTCAGAGTTATCCCACGCATACCCTCCAATATCGTAACGCCAAGTGTGTCTGTCGGTGTCATATGTGTGCATAAAATCTCCGTAGTCGAGGAACCCATACCACCTGCGCTGTTCAACTTGGTTTTGATAGAATTTGGCTAGAAAGTCGAGATGAGTTTCCAAAGTCTTTGCGGCATCGCTACTGTCATCTGGAACGTCCCAGTACGAGCCGAGCGCCTTTGTGTCCTTGATGTAACTCGGGTTGGCTACCAAGACTGGAGGGTTGTTGACATAGGTAACCAGTGTGGACAGGGTTTCCCTTGATGGCGTTTGATCAAATGCAATCAGAGAGATCTCGCTCGTTCTGGCGATGCCGTAAGGAGTATTGAAACCGTCCTCCCAATCTTCGTACGTGATCTGGAGCGCATCTAGCTCATCTGCATAGCCGTCCTGCCCCAAGCCATCGTGGAAAGGGCGGAGATCCAACGGCTCCGCAGATGGACTGTACAACCATAGTGTGATGCTTCCAGTGTCAGAGGCTGCGTTGGAAATATCGAAGCCAGTAGGGTAACGCTTCCAGAAATCACGGAGCCCTACTGCGAGGCCTCCAGTGGTCGCGCCTCCAAGGTATGCGAGCCCTTCAGCCCGAGTTCCACCCGGTATATTGATCCAACTCTGCCCAGCCTTGGTTCTCTTCTTGAGCGTAAATCCGTCGGGGGAGAGTTGGCTGAGGGAGTAGTCGTTCCAAGTTGGAATCCAATGAAGTCTGGAAGAGACTCTCGTGTCCCAAGTCGCAGTATCGGGAAGCTCGGTTCCATCAAACTGGGCAGTCTTAACCACTGCTCCTGGATCCCGTCTCAATCCAGTGATGCCTTGCACGGCTTCATTAAGCAGACCACCGTCAACTCCTGCGATTCTGATGTGGCGATTATACAGCTCTTCACCATCTAAGGGAACATCAAAACGGATCCCGATGCCTGTGATGAAGTCGCTTGTAGCATTGCCATCAAAAACAAGGCTGTGGACAATCTTGATTGACTCCGAGTTGGAGTACAAGTAAAATCGCAGCACAAACTGCAACCACGCATCATGAGATGAGGAGCCTGTAGCTTGATGATTTCCTCGAATGGTGACTAGTGCACGAACAGATGTCTGTTCTGCAATCGAGACGTCACTTATACGACTCTCAAAGTTGAAGAAGTCGATGGACGAATTCCCACGAGCTTCTGGGGTGTCTGCTACTCCGGACTGGGAATACAGGACCAACTTTCCGTTTTGGCCGACTTTCTTGCCGCTTTTCGTCTCGATTGTTTTGAGAATAGTGCCGCCTGTCTTGGGGAACGAGGCAATGAGCTTTCCGGTGTCGACTTTAATCTCATCCGAGGACTCAGTGACAACAATGCCGGTGGTTGTGTCGTCTACTCGGGCTGAAGCAGTGGAGTTGGTCGAACCATTTGATGCAGTCGCTTTGACGGTGTATCCTTCGGATATCAAGTCCAATCCCGGGATTGCGTGGCCTGTCCACTTCACGGAGCCGTCCGACCAGTATCCAGTGACCCAAGACTGGAGGTCAATGGTCTCGCCCGACGTGCCTGAGATTGAAAATGTGGTGCTCTCTGGCCAGTGTTTCCCACGTGGCCATGGGAGTCCGAAAGTAGTGCCTGAATGCAGTGTTGGTGTTTTGCCAAGCCAATTGACAGTCGCTGATGAGCTAGAATTCCCGGTCGCAGCTGAGACAGGACGGCCGAAGAGGGCCGACACGGCGAGAAGACATAAAGTTAATGGCGACATTGCGTCAAAGCACCGCAATAGCTCTATGAAAGGCCAACTGCAATGCAAGGCTTCTTTCGATAAAGTTACTGATTGGAAGGACTCCATCTACAATGGCCCTGCGCTACGCTTTATAACAGTGAGCGACGCAACTTGCTCTGTCCATCGCAATTTCGGACCATTTCCCTCGTGCTCTATAGCAAGCTCTGTCCGGAGATTGCGAGAGACCTTTCCGCCCGTGAGTTGGTGAATCTCGGGCGAAAGTGTGACGAACTGGGTTGGCCAAAGATGTAAGTCGACTAGCCCTTGTGTTTATCCGCAAGGGGAAGATTCGCAATGGCCCCGGGCAATGGCCCAATCAGTAAAGACGATGATGCCATACTCAGTATAGTTTGCAGCCGAACAACGCGGGGTGATCAGCAAATACTAAATTACAGGGTAACGTTCGGCGCTCGATCGACCGACAACAGGGCCGATCGAAAGCTACACTCAGCATAGTACTGTCCGTTCGAACCAGACTTTTTGGCCTGGCTATGTTGCCATCGACGGCATGGGGAAGCGAACCAATTAGATGCCGGCGTGTGTCAACCCATGCCATTTAATCCTCGCATACGGAGAATCATGAAATAGGGTTACCACCAATCGGCGCGCACATTCTCTTTGCATCTGCCAAGAAGAGGGGTATTCGGGCGAAGTTTTCTTTCGGGGATTGACTTGGGCCGGAGACCCGACCTCACGCCGATGGCAACATACCAGAACGGGACGGGACGAATGTTGCTTCATGCAAGCTGATATTAAGGGGCTTGGTGGGTGGATCTTTGTTCTCGAGGCATCATGTCGTAAGAATTTGGCTTTTTTTCTACATTGAGAGTATACCTGATCAGGAAATAGTCGCAACGCAAAACCGATCATGTTTTGCGGGGACAATGAATACGCCTATTACACATGATGTGATGACTTATGCCGTCGGAGAATCTCGTGCGCGTCGATACATGTCGTCTGTCCTAGTGGGCGATTTGGCGGTCTTCCGTATTACAGACTCAGAGTCAACGCCAGCCAACGGACTCCTACGGGCTTATTGTAAAGACGGCAACAATCGCAACATTTATGGCTCTGGTAACGACAAGAAGAAGGCGACATAGAAATGGTCGAATCTCAAATATCCAATGACGTCAGCTTCTTGTAATTCGGCTGGGAATCGGGGAGAATATTTAGTGGCTTGGTGAATCGCTCGTTCAGAAATCAGTTTTACGTGATAGTGGTAGCTTTGAGAATATGCGGAAGTTGATAAAAAGCGAACTGGAGAGGTATTAAAAAGGCATAGACCGCTTTGGAGCGGGACTAATTGCAGGTGGATTCCGAGCATTCCATCGCTTCGGAAAGTGCTGGTCCATTCCGGCTGCCATTACGCCCGGCCCGCCAATCGGTCATGTAATTCCCATTTAGTGATTGGTCGGTAACTGCCGATTCCCCCTCATTCCGACTGCCGCGGATCTCCAAGACAGCGGGTGACTGTAGAAAAGGACTCGTCTTTATTGTACAAGTATCTCGATGTTATCTCAACGGTACCAGTTTAGTCGTCTTCACTTAAACCCCGTCTCAATCTCGTCGTGAAACTCTACCAACATGTCTCGAACAATCTCAACAAACGAAATCATCCTTCATAACAAGAGCGACGATATCTGGATTGTTGTTAATGGAAATGTCTATGACATGACAGAATTTGCACCCGATCACCCGGGAGGGCCCGAAAGTGAGTTTTAGACTGCCTGGGTAGTGGACCGAGCGAATTATTCATTATGAGATCAAGTTATACATCAATTCGCTGGGCAAGATGCTTCTGATGAGTACAACAAGGTCCACGCACCTACTTTGATACAGAAAAGCCTCAAAGAGAAACATAACCTTGGGTTTGTTGATTTGTCAAATGTTTCGTCTCAATGGAAGACGACCAGAAATGACCCCAGTGTGGACATGTCTAGTCAGAGTGTCACGAAGCCTCCTTTGAGCAGTATCATCAACCTGCACGATTTTGAGAGCATCGCTGCCCTGACACTGCCCAAAAAGGCTTGGGCATACATCAGTGGAGCTTCAAACGACAATCTCACACGTGATGCGAATTCAGCCTTCTTGAATAGGATATGGCTTCGGCCCTCCGTGATGCGCAATGTTGGCACCATCAACACGAAAACGAGTCTATTTGGATGCAATCTCGACTTGCCTGTCTACATTTCACCAACTGGTGCAGCTAGAACTGCCGGGCCAGATGGAGAGCTGGCGCTAGCAAAAGGAGCAGCCGAGATGGGAATTATTCAATGCATTGCTACTCCGGCCTCATACCCACATGAAGACATCCTTGATGCTACGCCCCAGCATGCCTTATTTCAACTCTACGTCAATAAGGACCGAGAAAAATCGCAGGATCTCCTACGCCGCATTTCTGCTTCAGGAAAGGTCAAGGCTATCTTCGTAACAGCAGACTTACCAGTTGTATCGAAGCGCGAGGCCGACGAGCGGGCTAAAACGGTCGATTTCGTTCAAGAAACACAGATGAGAAAAGACTGGAAAGGTTCCGGACTGGCACGACAAACTGGTTCCTTTATCGATCCAACATTAAACTGGGACGATATCTCCTGGTTGCGCCAGCTCACTGACTTACCAATTGTGGTGAAAGGTATACAACGCTGGGAAGACGCCAAGCTTGCCATGAAGAGCGGGTGTCAGGGTATTGTTCTGAGCAACCACGGAGGCCGAGCGGCTGATGGTGCGCCCCCAACCATTGTGCTCTTGTTAGAGCTACATCGAAACTGCCCTGAGGTATTTCAAGCCTTAGACATTTTGATTGATGGTGGGTTCCGAAGAGGCTCCGACGTGGTAAAGGCAATCTGTCTTGGGGCCTCGGCAGTTGGCCTCGGGAGACCTTTTGTATATGCTGTCAATTATGGGCAAGGTGGTGTGAGCCATGCTATCAATAGTGAGATTGCACCCCCTAACAGTCAAGAAGATCACCAATTGTTAACATATACAATTAGTCCTGCAAGACGAAATCGAGACGGCCATGCGCCTTTGTGGGATGACGGATTTGATGAAGAATGCCCATCCAGACTATGTCAACACAGCTGACATCGACCACTATGTTCTGAAACGCGGGCATCCTTACGCTCAAAAAATACTCAAACTGAACCCTAGACTTTGAAAGGTGTCTCCGGGGATAGGACAGGAGAAATTAATACACCCTAGCTAGAAGGATGTTACCATTGTGTTTTATTATGTCAACACCGGGGCTAGCATTAAAGCAGTAAACAGATGTAGAGGGAATCTTTAGCATTGATTAATCTAAGTTTATCAAACTACCGCAGGTCCTAGTGTAGTGTCTTGAGTACATTATTCGGGATACCTCTCGGCTACCCTATCATACTCCTCCTGGGTCAACGGCGTGACCGATCCATGCTTCAAGCCAGTGGGGAAGTTGGATCGATTCGAGGCCACCCAGGATGGGGATAAGATGTCTGTAGTCTGGTAGGGAATATACTGCGTGTAATCATCAAGAAGCAGATGGTAAAGACCAGGCGTCAGGTTATCGGCGAACGACGCTGGGCCTTCGAGCGGACTCTGGTTACGAACGTAACCCGGTATTCGAGTCCATTTCCCAAAAAGCCCGCCAGTCGTCTTTTCTTGATATACTTGGTTGGTCGTCTCGTTCTTGAGGAACCTAATGAAGGAGCCTGGGGTGCCAAGATACTGGAATTCCTGGTCAATCAACGGTGTGGTTGCAAGAGCAACATAGTCAGATGGGGAGCTGAAGGTGACGAAGTCTTTGGTGGTCGCGTAGCGGATCCGATCTAGGTTTGCAGTACCGGTATGGCCTATGTCCGCGGAGTCATATAATCGGGAAGCCCAGAAGACGTAATATTGTTGAGTCGCGTCATCCCAGACGACGGATGGCGCCCAAACCATGCCAGCCCTATCTCCTTCAACACTGGTGGACGCAATCAGTTCAAGAAGCGAGAGGAATTGAGTAAGGATCCATACATTCGCAACGAAGACTCTGACCAATCGACGAGGTTGGATGATTTCCAGACAACAATGCCTCGACTGCCCTGTCTTGTGGCCCAATCCCATGAAAAGCCGGAGGCATTTATGTCAAGATCTAGGTGCGACATGAATGTTTAGCGACTGCCGAATACCTTGGAATTAAAGACTGACCGGTCGCAATTAAGAAATACTCAGACCGAGCAGAGTTTGTTGTAAGGAAGATATCCCTCACGCCTTTAGTACCGACAGTTGATGCGAGAATTGAACTGCCATGATTCAAGAATCTAAAGCTCGATGCACTGTTGCCATTCGAAAGGTGCCATTGTATTTGGGGGTTGGCATCGCTGAAGGTTGAGATGAGATATCCAACATAGCTTGTGCCTTGGCGATGCGTGGGACTGCTGGCCACCAATGCAGCTGAGAGGGCAGCGGTAAGAATTGACAGTAGTTTCATTGTTGTAATGCTGCCGTAGCCCTTGAATTGCAGAGAGTAGAGGCCCTCACGTTTCTTACTGAGCAACTTCTGGAATGGGGGGACTGTCCTTATAAGGACATGCCATTACTAGGGATGTCAATAAACTCGGACGAGCCATTTACCTTCCGTCACACATGATGGGATGAGAAAGCCGCAGGTACTACGTAGGACGTCTTTGGTGCGGCTGTAACCAGATCGCGTAGAGTGGATATTTCGGGGTAGCATATGGCCGAGCTGTGTCGCTAATATGAAGGATCAGCGGTCTGGGGAGAGTATTTTAAGCGTGATTGGCGGGGAAACTACAGGGATATGGCAAATTAAGGTTACTAGAGGGGATAATTTCGTCAGGGCTTCAGTATAACAACTGTAGCTATTAGCTAAGAGGGGGGATATAAAAGGCGAGCAGTACTGGCACGCCTAGGCGTACAATTACTAACACGTGACATTTATATGCCTAGGTGTATAATAAAGATTATTTGTTTTTTTTTAGCTTTACTTAATATTATTAAATAAATTAAAGCTATATAGTAATCTTAAATAGTAGAAATAAATAATAAGTATTATATTTAATATTAGAAGAAATAGTAATTAAATAATAAAGTTATTATTTATTAATTTCTACTTAAAATTTCTATTTAATTTCTTTAATTTTATTTTTATTTTTTATAATTAATAATCTTATTATTTATAGTTAATAACCTTAAAATAATTATTTTATTTTAAGTAATTAAGAGATATAATACTTTAATATATATATATTTAAAAAGAAAATTAAAAGTTTAATAGTAAAAGAAAATACTAATAATTATATTAATAATATAGATTATATATTCAGTCTATTTAAGAGTTAATAATATACTTAAATAGACTTATTTTATAATATAAATAAGTCCCGGACCCCCTTAGTATATTAAACTGACTTAATATTAGTTTTTATATACTAGAATAACCTAATATCAGCCTCTAAAAGTTATACTAGCTTAGTATTAAAGTTTTACTATAAATATACTATATATAGAGTAAAAAGCTAGTATAAGTAAAGTTTATAAGCTTTAGTTTTAGTATAACTTCTATAGTACTTTTTATACTTATCTAGCTATATACCTATTTAAATATAAAATAGTAGCTTATATTAATAAAAAGAAATTGTTAGAATAGATCGTGCGCACAGTCATGCACATGATCAGGTGACCTCGGTCACTTGAGTGACCATGCCGAGCACAGCCCGAATAGGAAGGCGGTCAACTGCGCATATAATACCCCTGACTGCTGCGGGGTCAGCCTAGATGACAATATGCACAATACACATACATGTGGGCTCTCAATGACTAAGATGCTATGCATGCTGCCTAAATCCAACAATTAAGAGTCTCATACGCAATCATATCTACCAGCAATTACCGCTTTAGGCAGCAGGCTGTCCACGAGCGCCCGACGAGCAGTCGCCGAAAGCATGGCGACCGCCACAAGCATCGAGCTAGTCACAGACGAGGATTGGATCACGTGGTTCAAGACCCTGAAGACTACAGCTATGAACGAAGACCTCTGGGACTATCTTGACCCTGAGAAGAAGAACAAACCGGAGCTGATCTCAAAGGCCCCAATTCCACCGGATATCACTCAATTCAAGAAGAAGCCAGCGTTAATCACTCGCTCAAGGCTCGCCGAGCAATCACAAGTCTCTAGCGATCACACCGAGACCATTACGGCCGTGACCGATGATGAAGACCCCACTCTTGGTGATGAAGACGACATGACGCTAAAGGCTCAAGATGTCAGCGAGCTGCCCGAGAAGGGTCTCCGAGTGTACAACGCCTTATGGGCCAACTACGAACACCGCAATAAGCGCCACAAGGAATTCCAAACCAGAACAAAGAACGTAAGGAACTGGGTCCTTGAGACGCTTGATGAACCCCTCTCTCGGCATCACTGCAAGCCAGAGACCAGTTTGCCTGAGTGGATTCAGTCAATCTATGACGAGTTTGCTCTAGCAACCGAACAGCGGAAGCAGAGGGCTCGCCGAGCATACCGCGAGATCTTGGGAGAACCACTCCAAGGAAAGATCAAGACCAACACTGCTGCAGCCGATTGGCTTAAGCGATGGCGGAATGCTATCAACGAGGCTCAGGATGTTGGCCTCCAAGAGGCAATAGAACCCGATCAGTGGCTTGGAGACCTCACAACAGCTCTTCAGTCAACGCACCTACAGGCTTGGACAGATGCATACAGCGTCATGCAGATAGCTCAAGTCCGAGCAGGTACTTTAACAGTCGGCCCAGTCATGGCAGACATTCGCCGAGAGATCGCTAAACGGCCGGAGACCCCACGGCGAGGAAGAGTGAGTCAGGGAGCCTTCCACGGCGGAGGAGGCACACAAGAAGAGGCCGATAGCTCGACGAATGCTCGACGAACAAACACCAAGAAGAGACGGCGTCAGAGCATTGGATCGGATAAAGAAGCCAAGTGCCCAGCATGCTGTCAACTCCATCCACTATCACGTTGCTTCTACGCCTTTCCAGAGAACAGACCTGACTGGTTCGAACCGCGGTCCCATGTAACCGAAAGGTTCAACAAGCGGCTAGAAGAGAACGAAGACGACCTAGTCGGACGGATCAGAAAGATCAAGCTAGAGAAATCAGCCTGACTACGACCTGTCGGCACCTGTACAGCGAACGCAGCCCTAATCATCAGGGATTGCATGACGAACGCTGAACTAGTAGCCGGCATCTACTACGCATTACAAAACTGTGTTCTCCTAGACTCAGGAGCAACCCTGCATATCTTCCGAGATACAAGCCGAATGAAAAACCTGCGAGCAGCCCAACCAGGAGATTTCTTTTGGTCAGGAACTACCCAAGTGCCAATCGACGGTTACGGTGAAGCGACTATTACCCTAGCAGATGCCGATGGCTCGCCGATAAGGCTCACTCTCTATGACGTTGCCCTGTGTAAATCCCTTACCACGAACCTCGTCTCATTCTCGAAGCTGAGACAGCGAGGCCTTTGGTGGGATACTAGACCAGGTAACAACTGTCTGCGGAGATCAGATGGGTCCTTCTTAGGCACTATCGACGAGAAGCAAGGGCAACAAGTCTTAGAATGGAAAGATGGAGCGTTAGACTCGCCAAACGCTCGGAGAAGGGTCGTGGAGCACACGGCGGCAATGACAGCAGACAAGCCACAGAAGAAGTCTCGCTTTACAACATGGACTCCGAGAAAGCCAATGCTAGGGGACACAATGACTTGGCACCGACGACTCGGCCATCCAGGCCCAGACTCCCTGCGTTGCCTTATAACGGCCTCAAGGGGCGTCAGGCTGAAGATGCACGAGCCTGAAGGCCGTGAACGAATAACGACTGTGGACTGCGATGCATGTGGTGTAGCGAAGGCTTGCCGAGCGATCCGCAGAGCACCCCGAGAAGCAACAGCGCAAGCAAAACCAGGAGAACGAATAGCCCTAGATTTCCATCCGATGACCCCAGGCTATGCAGGCTATACGTCTGTATGGATCTTCACGGACCGAGCAACAGGGTACTCATGGGACTACTATGCCGACAATCGCTCAACGCTCGCTATCCGCACAGCGATCACTCACTTCCTCAAGATGTTGGAGGTGCAATACTCCATTAAGGTCAAAGTGTTTGAGTGCGATAATGAGATAACAGAAATACATCCGCAAGTCGCTGAGCTGCTGACCGCTCGGGGAATACGCGCCGAGCCTTCGGCCCCGAATACTCAAGCACAAAACGGGGGGGCAGAACGCATCGCTGCAGTCATCATACTGAAAAGCCGCGCAATGCGTGCAGGAGCTAAGTTGCCTGAATATCTGTGGCCGGAATCGATCAAAGCTGCTACCTACCTTTATAATCGTACACCCTCAATTCACAGAAACAGAAAGACTCCGTACGAGTTGTTCCATCGCCAATTCCGCGGCGACCACTCAGCGAAGCCCGACCTCTCACACCTTCGAGCATACGGCTGCAAGGTCTTTGCATTGACTGCAGATGCACAATTGCGAAGAAACCGGCTTCAAAGGCAGGCTCCGAGGGCGTGGATCGGCTTCCTAGTGGGCTATACGTCAAGCAACTCATTCAGAGTCTGGAACCCCTTGCATAAGGAAGTCTTTACAACAAGAGACGTCTCATTCAACGAGCAGCAACTGTTCGACGGACGGACAGAGAGTCTTCGAGACGATTTAAGGCAACAGAACCTCGAAGCTATCCGACAACGCATCGAAGAACTTGTAGCGATACAAGCACAAGCTGAGCAGTGGCTATCACAGCCACCTGATGAAGAAGCAGATGAAGTAATAGGGGAAGACAACGATGACCTGTTTGGAGAACACTCGCCGAGTAATTGCGAGGCTGTTGGCAAAGTGCCCGAATCTGAAGGGGCATATGAATACACCACAGCTAAGTTTGAACCTCTCCCAACACCTCCCCTATCACCGCCAGCCGCGTTTTTCCCACACCTTGGCCTCTGGTCTAGGTGTGAAGGGGCGTGGGGAAGCGGCCAAGCACGAGTTGGAAGCGGGTACGCAATATGCTCCGAATAAAAACAAGGAGAGCTCCGCATACCAACTCGCAAATCGACAAAGTGAGGCTCGGAAGGTCCAAAGTGATCTCGCCGATCGACCAGCGAAGCAGCGTGAGTCTTTCAAGGCTGCGTTCTAGCTGGGAGACTCCAGTCGCCCAAGCATCGCACGAGTAACCGCAGAGTGTTCGGCGAAGGCCTGGCCAGCCCTAGGCGAGCACTCGGCGGGGGAAGACAAGTCTGCCCTCAGATCACGAAGGATATAGGTGCGCAAAAACCTCCGAGATTAGAGAGCCCTGCGTCAGCAGTGGCACAAAACCTCTACAGATGGAGAGCCCTGTATCTGGGGGGGAAAGGCCGCCATGCGTAAATACACCGTGGCGTCTGTTGCAGACCCTTCCCAGCTCGCACGCGACTATAGCAAGCCATCCCTACCGGGAGGCTCTTCTTGAAGCAGAAAGAATACATTTACAAAGTCATGCAGATTCCCAATCGTGGATCGAAGTCGCAAAAGCCTCGGCTAAAGGCCGACGAGTGCTTCGGCTGCCACTGGGTCTACGTCTATACAACTTGACAAACACGG